GCAATGATTGTTGTTTCAGGGCTTTCAGCTCTAGCCGAATTGCAACACTGAGTGGAGTACGACAGAATGACAGACATCCATTTGTTTATGCAGTGTGTGAGCGTAGCTTGCGTGTGAGTTATGTAAATACATCTATTTTTGGCATGTTGGTGGAATGTTAAAGTGCCTAAGATGCAGCCGAACAGGATGTTGTAACTTATGATGATTGCTCATTTACAGTGTCAGATGGTGTTAATTTGTGGGTTAATATACAAATGTTTACATTTAAAATAAGCTACATACTAAACCTTGACTATAGTAAAACCTTTTACAAAAATGGACAGTCATAAATGCCATTTATCATTTAATACTTTCTTATGTTTTCTGAGTGTAACAAATGCCTTCATTTCACAAGATGCACAATATAGTGAAAAAAAAGTTTTTTTCACTGTTTTCAGAGAAACTAAAAATATCTTTTTTTCATTTTCAGAAATACAATAGTGTTTAGCAGTTAACGGTTAGCTGTTATCATATTCATACAGTGTTATTAAACTGCCTTCATTTGTTTTTTTTTATGCTTTCACGCTTTTTTTCTATCCAAAATGCCACCAGATAAAGAATTTCAAAATGCTGCAGGTTTCAGACTGATGATCAGCCTTTCTAAGAGTCTCGATTGGGGTGTCAACCTCAAAGCACTCACTTTCATATTCAGAGCTGATAACTTGACCTTAGAGAAAATGATATGCTTTCAGCAGCCAGATAGCACTTTGCAGAACTGTCACTTTGGTCAAAAATATTATGTAATCTTGTTCTTCTTGTAACATCGATATGATATGATCCTAACCTATTCCTTTCCCTCTTCAGATACAAGAGGAACATCATCTCCTGGATTCAGCTGTTCTACTGACTGAGCAACTGAAACCAGGTAAGAAAACAATCTATACATTTAAGGAAGTATTTTTACTCTGATTTAGGTTCTCCTACCTTTCTTCTTGTCTTGAGATTTACTCAGTGATTTGGTCACAAAAAGTGAACAAAGAAGATATCTTTCCAACAAATCACATTGTGGTGTGCTGCAACTTTGATTTTGGAGGATTTTTTTCCTTTCTTCCTTTCTCTCTTTCTTTCTTTTTTCCTTTCTTCCTTCCTTTCACTCTTTCTGTCATTTTCTTTCTTTCTTTCTTTCTTTCTTTCTTCATTTATTTACTTATTTATTCAGATAAACCCATCATTTGATTTGTCTGTGAGGTTTCTAAACTTGACAGACTGTATCTAGCAATTTTACATCGGCCTTAAGTCCTGTTACTTTTGAATGGATCTTCAGGTGTTTTTGCATGTCTATGAAATTTCCACAATTATTGAATTTATTTACAACTGCTTGAGTTGGTGTTGTACCATTTTGCAATTGTTTGAGTTAAAACAACTGCAAAATGTTTTAACATTTTACAGTTGTGCAGGTGTGAAAACTGGGTGGTCCAAATGTTTTGTGTTTTTTTTCCACCAGTACTATTCCAGTGTAACATCAGCTGGTGGTGTTAAGAGCAGAAAGTGATCATTAACAGAGCTGCTGGCAATAAATGAAGCTTAAAATAATGTTCATGAATGCTGTCCTACTTAATGTTCCAAATTACATTTACAATGTAACTGGTGATAATAAAACCAACAGTTGAAGATCTGGCTGTTGTTAAGTGTAAAGTTGAATGTTCAGAGGAAGTCAGAAGTTTTAAACATGCAGCATTTTTGGCTGTTCATCTCTAAAAGATGCACCTTGCAAAACTGGTTCTTTGTTCAGGTCCAAATACTAGAAATATGGAGAGATAGTGCCAGCTTTTAGGTACCAGAGTCAGCGTTCCTGCAGTGGAAAAACAATAAACTTATGCTCAGCAAGTTGCTTAGCACTGCAATGGATTTGGTTTTAGTCAGGGTTTTAGATGCAGTGGAGCCTGTTGTGTACTTAAAAACACTGTATGATGAGAAACATTAATAGAAACATTAATGGTGATGTCATCACTGATAAACGTTACTATGATGACCTTGACATTTTGTGCAGAACAGTGTTCATTTGTATTCTATGCCCTGTTGTCGACATTTACTTATATGTTTTCAAATCTTTTTAGAACCAAACTAAACCCAAAGAAAAGTTTTGGCAAATATTCCTTTTATGTGAGATATAAACATTAACAGACCTCATTTGTTTGCATACTTACTGGAAGTGTGTTTTACTGAAAGAGGGAATTTCCAAGGAATGTTTTTATTTTTCCAGTGTATGTCTTACTTTCACTTAGGTAGGTGAGATGGTTGCCAGGATCAAAGTACACCAAGGTTTGAAAAAGTTTCAAAACCACCAAAATTTTCCAGAACACCTATGATGCGGACAGACTAGTGCAGTCCCCGTCTTTCACCAGTTGCCGTCACTCCAGATCAACTGGCTGAGAAATGGCTGTACAGTTTTCCTTACTAGCAGAAACCCATATTTCATTGTCGTGAAAAACAGAGTCATGGTGTGAAACAAACAAATTCCACCTTTTACTCTTCGCTGCGTGACGCTTTTTTAAAACTAAAATAAGCCGTTGGCACCCGACTAAATAGTGAGAATCAGTTTGTTAAGTGTCCAGTGCAACAAGTCCATTGTTGTGAACATGTAAAATAAACATGAAAACTCCTGCTAAGTTTAGCAGATGTTAATTTGTTTTTTTTTAACCATATATGTTATTTTTCTGTTTCAAATAAAAAAAAAAATAGATCATTTGGTCAAGAGTTTTGTGTAGATGAAGTTACTCGTTAAACATAAAACAGGACTTTAATCAAACAGTAAAAGCTCTTCTGACATCAAAGTTCCTTCAATTAAAAAAAAGTTTTATTTTGCCTCAATAGATTTCTATGCATTCCTTACAAAAATATCCATAACTGTTGGATTTTTCTCAATTTGTCATGAGTTTGTTGGGGTTTTATTTAGACTAAAAAAAGCTTTTGCTACAGTCCATCTAAGCGCCTGTATCCAGACTTTGTAGAAGTATCTCTTCTGCAGCTAAAGCACCAAAACTCTGACACTTGGATTTTTTGATGCAAACTGTTTCCGCACTGCCTGCATATTTAGACCCTTTGTTCTACTGAAACTTAAACCTCAGCCTCGATCTCAAGTATCAAAGCTCCTATTGGTATTTTTATTTACATTATTACTGCATATTTAGCTAAATCCATTCTGCCCTGTCAACAGATTTTCCCTCTGCAGCTTCAGAGTTACAGTTCCTGGATGGCTTTGCACTTGCACCACACTCTTTCAAAGTTTCAGATAATTGTGTTATGGTTTTATAAGTAGGACTATCCCTTACCACATGCGATTAATCTAAAACTTTTAACGTTTTAGATTTAGTAAATGTTAAATAATGCAGACGACCTATTTTGACCTAAAAGTTGCGTAGGGTTACCTACTTCGCAGCAGCGCGCTACACGGTCTAGTACTGCAGTCCGAGTCACAAACGAGAGCAAAAATATGAGTGAAGAGAGTCAGGCTAATGGCAGCACTATTTATTTTCTTTATACTTCTCCATAATTTTATCTCTGAATTTCTTTTGCATTCCTTGGTCTCTATGATTCTGTTCGTTCATGACAGAGCTCATGGTTATCTTTTAGGGGTATCACAGTAAAGGGGAGCTGAGCATAACAACATGACTGTTTTAAAAAAGAAATTTAAAATTTTCTTTATCTTCAAATTTTTACTGTTTGGCTGTTGATCTGCCATGTAAAAATTGCAAAATCCATTCCAGTCTGTGGTTTGTAGTGAAAGAAAAATGTGAAGTTCAAGCTGTATGAATAATTTTGCAAGGCACAGTGAGGATTGGGAAATTTTGAGGAATCTGGCCTGGTGTTTACTGGTAGTATGAGCAGCAATCCTGATGACAAAGGGAGTGCAGGCCGACAGAGTAAACGAACATGTGATTCCAACTGTCAGTATTAGACTATTCATAGAAATCCTGTGTTGCACAAGGCTGATTTAGCAACAGGGTGGATTTCTTTTTTTCTTTTTTTTATGTGTATACACCCAAAATCTTATAGTCAATTTTAAAAATCTCCTTTCCCACCATTAGCTTTAGCTCCAAGAATAAAACCCACTGCATTGACACATCGACAGGTCTGATCCATAAACGTCAGAGGAATCTCACCGGAAACCGTGATTCATAAGAGTGTGTGCGTTTTTTTACACAGTGTAATAAGAAGGTCTTACATGAATAAATTATAAAACTCTAGAAGGCTTTGCTACTGAGAAAAAAAAACCCATCAACAATACAAAAAAATAAATAAATAATTGCTGCAGCCAGTGTGAGTCATGACTGATTTCTGCAGAAATAGCAAACCACAACACTTCCCTAAAACTGCAATAAGCAAAATCAGTAACAATCTGCAACGATGCCACCAAGAAATTTTTTCAACTATTTTTATTTTTATTTTTTTTACCTTTGATCCCCAAGTGCATTTTTTTTAGAAAAAAAAAATCTGAATCCATGTAGTCTGAAGAGCATGTGGAATAAATGAGGCACAGCCTAACTGGGTTGTCAATAGCTTACTTAGTAGTTTTCCATGTTCCTATAATGGATGTGTTAGTAAGCAAGTGTGTGTTTGTCGCATTAACCCATTGCCTTCGGGCCGCGTTTAGTCATTAATCAGAGTCATTAAATGGTGTCAGAGTTCTCTGCTTAACATCGGGGCAGTGATTTCCTTTGTGTGATGGAGGGGTCGGAGTTGGGGGGATGCGGTAATCCTTAACCATGCTCCAGTTGATGGTGACTTTACTGATAATAGAGTTCACGGCGGCTGTGCTCAAAAGCACTGCAGCAGCAGCAGTAGCGGCGGCGGTCACTGCGTCACAACTGCTAGGAAAGGAGATGGGAGGAAATGGGAGTCTAAACTGAGCTCTCAAACAGGAAGCCACCCTAGTTCTCTCATTGTTGAGCTTTTATAGACTCAACTTCCTGTCGAGTGTACTGCTGGTGTCACCATAGTTACCATCCCTGCTGTTAACGAGATGGACACTTCAAAGACTCCTGAGTGAAAGTCGCGAATGGTTAAAAAAATAAATAAAAACAAAGAAAAAACAGTTTAGAAAGAAAAACCTTTTTATGTTAGTCTGGTCAGCTATTCCTCTCATTGAGGTTTTCTTTTTTTGCAGTCTTAATAACATGCTCCATTTATCTGACTGTTCCATTTTAAGCTGGGAGCAAGAGAAATGAGCGAATCAGACAGCTTGTTGTTGGACAGAGTTGAGCAATGGTTGTAGAAATCGAGAGAAGCAGGGAGTGAAGGGTAAGAAAGGGAAGGAGTTAAAGAAAAAAAGAGGATGTGGCCAGCAGTAAAAGATGACTGGAGGGGAGTAGAGCTCTCTGTCTAATTATAGATCCTGCTGTGAGCTGGCTGAGGCAGAAGTGCTACTGGGGGTTTTTACACTGCCGGATATTTACATGACAAACACGGGTATGTGCCTTTTGATTTTGAATTTGGAGATTATGACGTGCACGTTTATGTGCATTTTCTTTTTCAGTATTTTTACAGCTTTGGAAAAAGACATGCAACAAGTTGAAGGAGTTTTCCAGAAATTTGAAGGGTTGTTGCTGTGTTTGGAATAAGCCTCATAAGCTTTTTAAAGGTATGGAGAGAAGAAACATTATTCTTAGCTGTCATTCTCATCTGCTGCATTTGATGTTAAAACAAAAGCAGCAGATTTATGCAGTGAGAGAACAGAGAGCTGCGCCAGATGTTTGTGGAAACTCTGTGACAACTTTGGAAACTGGACCTGCACTTCGTATCACATCCAAGGTCCTCCATCACTCAAACTCAAACTAACACCAGAGATGTGCTGATCAAAAAGATTAGTTGTGGATTGCTTTTACTCTGGTTTCAAGTCATTAGTTAGGTATGCACTTAGTGCATACCTAAAAGCAAAGTGAGGTGGATGGTACATATCAACCAAAGCAAAGTCTGATCATACAGTAAGTACATTGTAAAAAAAAAAAAAAATCTGTAAAAAACACAGAAAATGTTCTGGTAATTTTCTGCCAACTTTTTCTGTGTTTCTTTATAGTTAGTTGTACAAACATTTCCATAAACTCTAACCAAATTTTTCCCGTAATTCAACAGGTTTTCATGTTAAAATTACTCACGCACTAAACTTTTCCATATTTTTTTTACAGCAAATTTTCCTGTGCATTCACAAACATTTCTAGTACTTAAAAACATTTTTTATTTTTATTTTTACAGTGCTCACAAACAGCTCTCTTAAAATGTGCATTTCAAAATATTTTGTCTTCCAAATCATTCAAGTATTTTAAATGACCAGTTAAGTGTTGGACTGTATGAGGAAGCCAGAATGCATAGTGAGAACCTAGACGTCCACTGGTTCGCCACCTAAACTCCTCTTCCTGCAGGGCAACAGCTCCCACATGACGGCAGAATCTGAAAATGACTTTTGACTAGATTTCCTCCTGTGTTTGGTCATGCAGCATTTACATTAGGAGCATCAACGTGAAAGAACAGTCAGTAGCTGTGTTTCTGTTAATCATAAAATTGCTCAAATTGGAATTACGAAAGTAAATTTACTTAATACAAACACTACAATTTTGAAAAAAAACTTGTGTTTTTCAACATAAAGTTTTGCGCTACTTCAGGACATCAGAAATGGTAGATAATATATAAGCTGCTAATATGCCTTGAAAACAATATGAAACTTTATTTCATGTTTCCATTTACTTTAAAGTAAAACCACTGAACAAACGGTCTGCTTTGAATCTCCTTCCCTCATTAACGACTTCCACACTGAGGAGTGTTAGCAGTTAGTCATAGTGTGTTCACTGACTTGCTGGATTTTTGCGTTTCCAACAGGAGGAATACCCAGTGAGCAGACAGAAAACCTTGCAGTTTCATTCACAAGTAAATTGACAGACACTACAAATCGATGCAGAGCAGCTTTTTATGACTAGAAATGTAAGGAAAGATTTATGGCATGTCCAGGGTGTGCTCAGACCACTTGCCCAATCAGAGAGGGCAAGAAGAAGAACTATAGACACTGGATGGATGGATGGATGGATGGATGGATGGATGGATGGATGGATGGATGGATGGATGGATGGATGGACAGAAGGACGGATGGACAGAAGGACGGACAGATGGACGGATGGATAGATGGATAGTACCTCTGAGATTTTAAGTGTGCCACTTCATCCTATGGGTCAGAAGCAGTTGGAACTTCTTCCAGAGGGAGAACATGCCACTAACAGGAAAAGCAAATTTAATCATTTTCAGTTGACTTTCTTTTTTCTATACTTCTGTCGTGACATATGTTGCCTCATCTGCAGAAGTTAAATTGCACTTTCAGCACAAAGTTCAAATTTGACTTTGCTAAATGAGGAAATGGACAATAGTAAGAATTTGATGAGCTACCCTGTTGAGATGCTTAGTGGCAGTTATTTCTGTTCAGCTTCAGACTGCAGTGAGATATTTTCTAGTGTATTGCTGTAGAAGTGCTTTTACTTGAAGAAGGTTTCATGTTTTACTAATGGACGTCTTTGTGCTTCATGAGTGTCTTATTTTATTTTGACATTTGATTATCATCAGCTGATATGCTGATGATTCCTAAGTTAGACTGAGACAACCTTCAGCTTGTATTTTTGGTACCAGAGAACAAGCAACAAATATCACACAGTTGGTCTGAAAAGTACACACACCCCTTGTATAATACCAGATAAAACACACCATAAGTCATTTCAAGCCTTTTAAAACATTCATCCTGTTCAATCCAACTGAAAAACAACCGAATATGTCAGAAGGAAAAATATCTTCAAAAGCTTGTTACATAAGTGATCACACCCTTTTTAAAGCAACCATTGATTCAGTTACATCATTCAGATTTAGTTCTGGCTCATTTTCTGGCTCATAGTTTTGTCCATTTAGATTTATGCTTTATCCTCAGTTACATCAAAAGAAAATTAACCTCAGAGCATAATCCTGCCACTGACATGTTTTACTGAGCACTCTGTTTTTCTTGCAAAATTTGAGCCAAAGATTTGATTTTATAAAGTTACTACTTATACCTTTTTATCTTTTGCATTTTCAACCTTAAATGAGCCTCATTTGCATTCATTTTTAAATTTTTTGCATGCTGACTCAAACACCCCAAAAGTAATTAGATATTCATCTACTGAAAGTAGCATTTGGGGATGAGTGATTAAGCCACAGGCGCTCCTGTACAGTGAGAATGGGCGGCCATGTTGCGACTATATTTGGACATGTGACAAAACCAGAGGCGCTGTCAGCTCTGTGCATCGTGACTTTGTTTTCTAAACCTGGTCGCACTATCCTGAGTGTCGTCCCTGTCAGCACATGAGAGATTCACTCACATGCAGGTAGCCAAAGATTGCTGAGCAACTTGCTTTTCTTGTCTTTTTGCTGCCCTTTCCCTTCACTTTAGGCTCAGCAGTTTGTATTTTTTTTCTTACTTTGTTTTACACAACTTAAGTTTTGCTGCCTGTGCTCTGACAGAAATACAACATTAAGAATTAGTGTAGTTGTGAAGTCGAAAGAAAATTAATTTTTCACATTGTGAAACATATTTCATATCTGGATTTAGCTCTGGACTTTACCTGATTAAGTTGATTAAGTCAAGCCGATTTGTTTAGCACATTACAGCAACAAGACAGTTCAAAGAGCTTTACTCCATAAACATAATAAAGTAAACAATTATGAAACTGCATCTAACATTGCATATTTGCTTGCATTCACCAAGCAAATATACATCAAACATGTTGATGAATTTTCCACTTATTATGAATCAAAGGAAGCTCTAAACAGGTGGGGCTTTAGCCTTGATTTTAAGGACCAGTGTTCCAGCAGTTTTGTATTTTTGTGAAAGTTGAAATAAGATATGTGCTGCATAAAAACTGGGCTTTAATGAGAACGAGGTTCTGCAACAGCTGCATCACAACCATGAACATGTAAAATGCAATTGTTGTTGTTATAAATGATCCATTCGGGGTCATAGGTCAGGTTAGATCCATACTTCAGTATTTTTGCAAGAGGCATTTTGTTGTCAACATGAATATGTGAGAGGGAAATTTTCACAGTTTAAAAAAATCTATTTGTTCATGGTTTCCTAGGATATAAAAGGTTAAAAGGTTCCAGTTTTTTAAAGGAATGGTTCCCCGGTGGCTCTGTGTCCCCTACATGGCATATGGCAAACTGGCAAATGGGATTTCTTTCAACAAAACTTAGAAAAATACATGTCTTCTGTCACCTGTCATCTGCCTCATACGGCAACACCTTCCCACTCTCTGAGAACAAAATAATCCAATGAGACAGAAAGAGCGACTTGTGCACGCTCTGACCCGACCTGTAGAACCAGTCCCGATTAAACTGTACACTCGCTTAAAATAAAGTACAAACAGCTGGGAGGAATCAAAGGAGAGGCATTACCTTTACAACCGTGTGGGAGCGACTATCTCAGACAAACACACCTGTGTTTCATTTGGCCCGTCTGGAAAACACTCGCCTAATCTGCCCAACAAATCAGCACATTCCCAACGGTTCTGTACTACCAGGCAAATGGTGTCTTCACTGCTGCCATCGCGATTTCCATAATATCATGCATTGTCACACTCACAAACTGTTTTTGTAGCTTTTGTTGCTTCTTTATGTGTGTGTCTCTGTCGATTCAACTGGAGCTTTGGAGTTCAGAGCCTTATGTTGCATTATGTTCTGTTTGCATTCACCAAATCCTCTGTTTGTTCTTCTGACAATAGAAATAAAATAACGTGATAGTGAGATTACCAGGAGTGAATGTGTCAGGTCCACATTCCCCCCCTATTCTTCCAGCACCATGTTGGGTATTTTAAAGCTGTAAAATAATGTACAATTAAAGAAAAACTGAACTCAAATTATATTGTTAAAATGACTTAAGTAAAATAAATTCTTTCATTAAAAGAAAATCATCCTGATCAAATATTTGATCAATTTAAGTGTGTTTAAAGTCAGATACTTTTTTCTTGTTCAGAGTTTCTCTGTGTTATTCCAGCATGTCTTTTGGCAGGAGTTTGCTTTTGAAAAAATAAACAGCAAATAAGTCTAGACAACAATATTTTCATGTGATCAATATCAATAGGTATGTCTGATAGAACATTCAGTATGTTCAATACGTAGAATATTAGCTGAACTCAGTACATAACCACACAACATTCTGGAAGCCAATCTAGGATGGTGATGTCAATTAACTCACTCAATCTTTGATTACCCAGCAACAACCTACTGAGTAACTTGCACAGCAGCAGTTTTATGTTTTGTCATAACTTTCCCTCATAGCTCCTTAAATATGAAAAACAGGAAAGTCATAACACCAGTTTGGCAGCAAACATATCCATCCGTCCGTCTGCCGTCCATCCATCCATCCGTCCGTCCATCCGTCCGTCCGTCTGTCCGTCCATCCGTCCATCCGTCCATCCGTCCGTCCGTCCGTCCATCCATCCATCCATCCATCCATCCATCCATCCATCCATCCATCCATCCATCCATCCATCCATCCATCCATCCATCCATCCATCCATCCATCCATCCATTTTCTGTACATCCTTGTCCCTGCTGGTGCCTATCTCCAGCAAACGTTTTGGGTGAGAGGCAGGGTAAACCCCAGACTAGTCGCCAGTCTGACATAATCAATAATTATCAATGATTATTGATATTGACCTAAGTTTTTTTTATCCGGTGAACTCCACACAAGACAAAACAGTGAAGTTGTGATTCTGAGCAGAAACATCATATACTCCTGCAGTATGAGTTGCTTGGAGAAAGACTGCAGAGAGAGGTCATGTGGATCCAGGAGTTTACAGCCAGTCTGTGAGCGAAGGGTCATGTTGCTGACATGGGAACTCAAACTGTATTTTCATACAAAACCTTTAGTCCATCTGCAGGACCAGAGTTAATCATGGGTCAAGTCATTCATCAGCCAAAGAGTCAAAAAGATTTTCCTCAGTTCTGTCATTTCAAAAAGTTTGAGCTAATCCAAACCCAGCTATTGAAAAGTTTAAAAGTTCAGTTGAGATGCATTCTGTTTGTGGGAAATGAGAAATGAGGCTTTCAAATGAAAGGCTAATCAGTAAAAATCTCCATCATTTAGTCACATTGGATGTCATATCTTAAGTTATGGCTGTCAACATTAATGCATTGAAACATACAGTTGATCTGAAATTGTGAACACCTGTTTATTACATAATGCAGATTAATTGAACAACCTGTTATGACTAACATCCTCTGTCCTACAGAGAGTTTCCTAGTTCACAGCAGCGTGAAAGTTTTTCCATGATAGCAGACATAATCACAAGTTTAACATTTTCCAACTTGTTGCGATGTAGCACGTCTACAGGTAGGAGCTAGATGGGTATTTGCCATGTAGCCCATATTTTGACGCCAGGGTGGCATCAGAAAGGGGCGGGGCACCCGAGTACAAGAGAAAATAAAATGTATGTTATCTGGCATTTATCCCCTGAATAAGTTTTCTAAGTTGTTTGCAAGTTTCCCTTAATTGCTGTCGAGTGCTTGGAGACAGAATAACCTGCTTTCTGCAACAAAAAACATTAAAAGCAGATAATTGTGTATTAATTGGTTGGAGTGCAATGGAAGGTTGGGCTTGGCTCAAGCTTACAAAGTTAGTTCATGCTGATTACTCATAGCACTACAGTGTGATTAATCTGATGAAATTTTGAAATCAATTGACAGAACTAATCCAATTAGAAATGCTTAGTTATCAGATTCATTTGTGTTTCAGAGAATCTGTGGCGACATCACCGTGTGCTTCTGCGGTTTCCCCGCATTTCAGGACGGGGGAGCAAGAAGCAGAAACAGACTCACTGTTTCATTCTTCCATTTCCTTTTATAAGCATGTTCTCTCTCTGAGAGAGGACATGTAAGAGAGAGAATATACTCAGTTATTACTCTCTGAGAATAATAACTTTATTATTTCTGGATGTCATTGGAGAAAAGCAAATGCTCCCTGCGCTCTGCGATGGTGTGAATGTGCGTCTCTTGCCATGAGACGTCTGTCATTCCAGCCGGAGTCTGCATCCGGGCTGTGTTTGTACTTCCTAATATGGAGGAGCACTGACCTGCATGCAATCATTCACACACACTCACACACACTATGCATGCAATAGATCAACCCAAACAGCGATTTTGAGACAGTTGCTTTCATTTCACTGTATTTCCGCTGCGCCTACTGGCAGCAGACCAGACCTCGTTATGAGTGACATTTACTTCTCCAGAAGCAGTGAAATGATGTCAGATGAAGTTATTTTTAATAATTGTCAAAGTGCGTGTGCGTCTGTGTGTGTGTGTGTGCTTGAAAGTTTGGTTTCACCGTCAGGCAGGTTTGAGCAATCAGTGTCTGCTCCAGCCTGTTTCAGTGTTTGTGCGCCTCATGAGAATGTGCAGATGCATCTGTTTATGAGCGGGGTGTGGGTTTTTGGAATGTTTACAAAGGTTTGCTCACAATCAAGTGTCATTCAAGTGAATGTAAAAATGATGGAAGTGGTGTGAAATAGTGTGTAGATGGAGGAATGAGTGTTGCTTGCATGTGTTTATTCTTATTCGCTCCTGGTGCAACTTATGTGACGGTGTTTACAGCTGCTCCTGATCTGAGTCACTTTTTTTTCTTCTGTGCATCGGGAACATCGCTGTGTGTCATGGACAGAAACTGCCTTCCCTCACCTCCCACTCTGCCTTTTCCCAAGCTCTTTCCTTCCTTGATCCTGCATTTAGCGCCGGTTGAGGAGATATTTCCCAGTGACTCAGCCATGCTATGCAAATAACCCCGACTGCATGCAAAGGGCATGGAAATGTGCAGAGTGCAGCAACCACACTCAGCTTATTGAAATGCAAAAACATATATTTACATATATAACAAGTATTTTTGTCTACTTTCAAGTGTAAACATCTTAGTACACTTGAAATAAGAGAAAACTAGCTCATAAGTCCAGCCAAATATAGTAGCTTGTTTTAAGTCAACACGTCTTTAATATTGATAAAAAATTGTAGCTCCACTGGCAAATTGTTTCACTCAAAATGATAAGTGAAATAATCTGCATGAGGAACTACTACTTTTTAATAAATATTATGAAATAATTTACTTGAAACAAGCTCCCATGTCTTGCTGAAAAGTTCCTTCCTTGTAGTTTAGTTTTGTCTGATTTTAAGTACAAGATATTTACACTAGAAACTAGACAAAAATACTTCAGATTCTGTGTTTTAGCAGTGGATGTAAGTTTTCACTTTAATTCTGTATTACTGTAGCTATAAGGAACTTTAACAGCTGTTGTCAGTAAACTTTACAAAATAGGTTTTCAGCGGCTATTAAGAGGAAGTCTATTACTGAGTGTTGCACCATAAAGCAACTGTAACTATGACACATTAAAAAGTGCATGGCCCATATCTTCTGCATTGTTGCTAATTTGTGCAACACATTTTTATTTGAATCTGTCGAGGCCTTTTTATTACTGCTGCAGTGACTAGATCTCATGTTTAAATAGTTATCATGAAGCGGTTTGCTTGTTGTCGATCTGGAACCAAATTATCTGCAGGCTATTCCTCTGGGAACAATGCCAACTGCAAGTTTGTGTGACTGATGTAGGAAGATAAGGGATTCCCAGGTAAAAACTTGTCAATTATCCTTCTTAATTCTATTTGTTCACTGAAAAGGGAAAATGAAACCACAAAGCTGAAGTTTTTGTGTTTGTTTTGGACATATCTCAATTTTTATCAAGTTTTCTCTCATGGTTTTGTTTAAAAGCCCCAAATGCTAACATATTTTGATGTCTAAATTTTCAAAATATTTAATTTCAACAAATAATTTAGAGTTTAAAAGTATTTACTCTTTCCAAGTCTTAGACTGCAGAACATTCAGTTTATATATAATAAAGACCAGAGTTATGAAGTGGGAAATTTACATCAAAGTTCAAATCCAACATGGCTGCCACACATGTAACACATTGCAATAGTCACAGGCACCAACTTCTGATCATTTGTATCTGAAACAATAACTGGCACACAATTTTATTAGAACGTTCAAATGGAATCTAGAGAATTTGTCATTATTGGTTTGGAATTCTAATGCTAGTTAGCCTGGTCTCGAAGCAGAACAAATGGCAGATTCCTCTTGTTTTCTGACTTTCCATTGGAACACTATTGAATCCAATTTTACCTAAAAATTACATAAAACACTGCTTTCTATTACTACTTCTCTGATATGTCTATAATGCTTCTTTTTATCAGAACCTTCTTCTATGTGTTGGATGTTGTTAGTGAGGAGGATTATTGACATGCTCTTTCTGTTGTCCGTCTCTTCCAGGTTTTTCCAGCGCTCTGTCAGCGTCCTGCACCGTGTTCCCTCCCATGGACCTCCGGGTGGGAGAGCGGGGGACCCCGCTGCACCAGCCACTGCTCCTCACACCCTTCTCCCCACAAGGCCGCAGCGCATTCTCCCAGCAGCAGCAGCTGCATCAGCAAATCAGGGTAAAGATCACTGCAATGCCAAAAGTTCCTGACCAATCAAGGGCAGCGTGAAATTAAAACAGAAAAACAGAAATGAAAAAATATTTGTCATCCATCCATTCATCCATCCATCCATTGATTGAACTTTGGGGGAAAAAAGGAAAGTATGGAATTTTAAAATTAAAAATTGTGTTGTAACTCTGAAAAGCATAGATAGACAAACTTCCTCAAGGTAACAACCCAACCTTATTCTTCATCCCATCATTCTTGTCCAATATCCGTCTGTGTTTTTGACTGCAGTTTAATATGGAGCAGAGGAGACGGGAGCAGGAGCACCAGGAGAAACATCAGGAACTGCAACAGCTAATGCACAAAGACAGAAGCCAGCAAAGTAAGTCTGTAAACGCATGCACACACGCACACACTCTGTCTCGCTCTAAACCCTTTGCTTTAATGACATGTTTCTGCAAGCTTAAATTAAGGTTCCAAACTGCCGTTCTTCATCTGATCTTTAAAAATAAGCATTTCTCAGAGTGCTAATCGTGGCCGTAGAGGAAAGTCCCCACAGGAGATCTGTGGCTTTGAATAGTGACTGAACTGCGTCACTTCACTTCTCAGAGCTGTTTGCTTTGAAACAACAGCTAAATATAACCTGACAAGTGGAGCTACACCAGGGGAGTTAAATATAGAGTTGGGTCTGGGCGCATAAAGTCACTGGGTCAATATTGACTAGATCGCTCCGAGCACCTGCTGTCACCTGTGTGTGCACACATCTGCTTTCACAACGAAAACACACCCAACTGACAGCAAACACACTCACAGAAAAGTCTGACACGTATGAAAAGTGTCCTTTTGTTGGCTGAAAACATTGTTTTTTTAACACTTTTTCTTGATGTGACTAATTACGTTCTGACATAAAACACTAACATGAGTCATGTGGATTGGACTGCTTACTTTATGCTGTAATTCTTCCATCTTTATGTTGTTTTGTGTGTGTGTGTGTGTGTGTGTGTGTGCATGTGCGCGCATGTGTGTGTGTCTAACTGGTTGCTGTTGTCGATCTGCAGGCGCTGTGGCGAGTTCAGCGGTGAAACAGAAACTCCAGGAGGTGATTCTCAAGAAGCAGAAACAGGCGGCGCTTGAAAGAACAAACTCAAACGCCTTGAATGCACATTCTGTACCCTACAGGTGACGAAATGAGTCTCAACTTATTTATCGTGCTGCATTCGTTCTCACCGACTCATCTCTGCCACGAAAAAAATCTTTAATCCTGAAATAGTTCTAACATAGAGTTGGTATAAAAAGAAAACTACAGGCTTTCAGTTCCGTGTTAACACATTAATAAAATTATAAAAATAATTGGTCCAGAGGTTGTTAAATAACACGAAAGAAATAACAAACACTGAAATTGAGAAAATATTTTTGTCAACTGAAATAAATAAAAATGGTAAAACAAAGGGGAAAAACTACAACTAACCAGAACTAAATTATAAACTTTGAAAGATAAAACATACAAACATTTCAGATAAAATGTCCTACGTTTTTGTGTTTATGAATCTATTGAAGAGCTTTTTGGGAAATTCATTTTTTCCACTGAACATCAGCTGTTGGCAAATTACAGTGGCTCTAACGCTAGTCAACAAGATGACGACAGCAAAAATGTTCATAAAACACCAGCTGGTTGTTCAACTATACACATATGTTATGCATAATACATAATGTATTTTTTCAAAATATATTTATACATAATATATTATGATTATATCACACATATATACATCATATATTTTTTACAAATTGATCTCTGGTTAAGTATTCATTACTTGAATATGATGTCGTTCATTACGGTTGTAATTGTGTGCATTCTTCTGTGCTGTGTTCTTTCAGAAAGCTTGGTCCAGACCCCAACGTCCCCACCCAGCCTCTGGTCTCATCTCCACCACAACCTCCATCTGACGGCCTGGAGGGGACGCCGCTGCGCAGAGCAGGTAACACACCAGCTACATGCCCCATGTTCTAAATAACCAATGAAACCTTTCTGTTTCATTGGATGTATGAGATTATGAAGTGAAATAGGATAAAGTTATTTCCTCAATAAAAAAATGCAGAGATATAGAGTTCAGCAGCAATAAAGTCAGATTAATCAAATACTTAATTATAAATTTCTAACCTCTAGAGAAAGTGGTACAATTTTAACAACATAGATTTGAAAATAAAACTTTCTTTGCTATTTCAGAGCAGATTAAAATTCTCACTGAAAAAAATAGAGCATAGGCACAGATGGCAGTGGATAAATGATTTTCCGTTTATCCACTGTCAGTCATTTTCTTCAGCACATTTAGCAGTGCGTTCACAAGATTGATTGACAGTGCAAAGATCCTCGTCCTGACTCTTATTTTTTTTTAATCAGCATTTCTCCAGATAGCAATAGTAGCACAGGAAGGTGAAGAAGCTTGATATTTTTGACAGATTATCTGTATGATTCCATTCTATTACGACATGGAGGCAGTTTTAAAAAATATGGTAAAAGCATATTTTTGTAAAAGTTACATACGATACACAACTTTAATGACTTCCACATGTCCAATTTGTCAGCGTCAGAGCCCAACCTGAAGGTGAAGCACAAGCTGAAGAACCACCTGAAAACACGAAAGAGTCCGCTCACCCGCAAGGAAAGCGCCCCGCCCACCATCAAGCACCGAGCGTCGGACGTGCTGGGTAAACCCCACACAGGCAAAACAGCAGAGGGAGCGCATCATGCCACATTACTGCTCTAATCTGCGACTTTGATGAAGATTTGTTTATTTTATAACTGATAACCAGATCTCCAACTCAGCTGTTGTGTGCTTGTGTGTGTTTCCCCAGATTCTTCCCCCAGCAGCAGCAGCACTCCGGTCTCTGGCTGTAGTTCTCCTAATGACAGTCTACCCAATGAGAATGGACTGCTGCCCTCTGCAGGCGGGCCTCTGCATGAGGTTAGCGAAAAGTTTATTTAAAAAATCCAACATTCCCAATTATTTACACCGAGCTGCTGCTTCTTTAGGGTTTTGACAGATTTCATAGGAAAGTGATTCAAAGATATGCCAATATTTTAAGTTGCTGATAGAAGAAGAAGAAAAACTAAAATATGAAGATGACTTCATTAGCCTTTATGGAACAAAGCTGTCCAAATTGCTGCTTGGGAGTTATTAGGGTTGATGGGTCAATGAAGATGAAGACTTTTTTAAAATTAGAATACAACTATGACCCACTAATTAAAATCTTATCACAAAAAATGTCATATACAACATTTTATTAAAAGTATTCATCTTTTAATAATCAAGCTTCTTATTTTCCCCTTTAATTTCATGGGAAATATGACCTGGAGACACTGGAGCAGACCTTAGTGCACCCAAATCTGCTTTTAATTGTAATACTTACAACTCAGCTGAATACAGTTTTAAAAAAAGAGTGATCTAATTTCTGTTTTTATTGCTGAAAATGGACATAATATTTTTCAGTTTTTTCCAGTTGATTCCAAAATAAATGTTGAATGTGGCAGCCTTTTATTTTTATAAATAAGAAAAATAGGAAGTCTGGGACATACACATCTTTACAAATCTTTTTACATCCTTTCCTATAAAAATATTTTTTATTTGTTTATTCATTTATTTTATGCTAGGTTTACTGTTTAAACTGTGACAGACTGGCGACCTGTCCAGGGTGAACCCCGCCTCTCGCCCGGAACGCAGCTGGAGATCGGCACCAGCACCTCCCGACCCCGTTAGGGAGAAGGGTGATCGGAAAATGGATGGATGGATTTACTGTTTCAAAAAATTTATTACTTTGTGAATTTAATTTTTAAAAAATGTTGGAGGTTTTGGGTCCACAATTACTGTCTTGTTGAGGATTTTGGTCAATGTTACCAAAAGTTTGAACATCTCTGATCTTGAATCTTCACACAGGCTCATTTTTAAGTGTCAAAGCCAAAAACAAAAAAAAAAAAAGAAAACACGCTTTGATTGATGTGAGAAGCTGCTCTGCAAACATTAACTTTGTCAGGACTTCGAGTAATGACATGTTTAAAGCAGCGACACGGGAGCCTGTTTGTCAGCTGGTTGCACATAATTCATTTAATCACGGAAAGTGGGCCTCGGTTACACCTGCCTCGCTGTTTGACTCATGGTGGGCTGCCGTGTCGGGTGTCGGGTCGGTTAAATCAGAGACGAAGGTTTTCATCAGACTGCATTGCCAGTCCTCAGACTACTGAATACTAACTACTGAACAATTCTGGAGATATTGTTCAGACAAACTGTCCGGCTTGTGAAGAGATAAAAAATAAAGTAAATGCTGAATATTAATCACGTTAAAAAGAAGTTTACTTTAGCAGTACCTGTTTGGTGTTGGCAGGCTCAGAAGTTGCTGCTCAGAGACGGGACCTTGTCTAACTTCACCATCCAGAATCCATCCACTCTGCCCACCATCACACTGGGACTGCCAGTCAACCCCAGGGTAAGCACATGTTTGGTTCATGTAGCCTTTATTCAGATTACCTCCTTTTATCATTTAAATCGTTATTATCACATTTATTGTAACCATAACAGTACCACAAATTATTGTGATAAGTCCAGGTATGCCTACTCTAACAGGACCTTTCACACATAAGCTGGAGATCGAAAAGGATGGATGTGTGGGAAAGTACAGTGGCGGATCCATAGTTCTATGGGCTTGTTTTTCTACCAGTCCTCCTTGGAAAATGGTTTATAGCTTCAGATGTAACTTTTATAAACAACATGTACTTCACATATTTGTTAAACCTGCGTCATAACAGTATTAGTTAATGTCATTGGTAGAAATGCACCTCTCGAAATCAGTAACAACCAATCAGAGCGAGGAGGAGGGTGTTACTGCTGTCAATCAGTCTTATGTATGCTGCAACATGTGCTAATGGTGGGAAACCATTTAGCATTCATCTGCTGACATCAAGGCCATTAGCACGGGCTCCTGTGTGGTGAACGAGCTGAAGTGTTGCAGAGCATAGCAGCGATCAAGGGGGATCATGTGAACACAACCATGATTTGCATCACAAAGACCCTCCTCCAATCTCTAATTGGTTGTTTTTGACCTCGCGGTTTATTTCTGGGAGAGCTCCAACTTTTATAGATTATCTGTCTTATACTATCACAACATGGTGATAGTTTTAACAAATGTGTAAAACAAACAACAACAAAAAAACATGTTTTTTTATTAAATGTTCATAATTCAGCTTTATGTATACCCAGGGTTCCAAAGAGACTTTGAAACAAAAATATATGAAGATTTGTTTTGGTGCCCTCTGCTCATGATTTTTAACAAGATAATTCAAAACATATGGCTTAAATATAGTCAGAGTTTACCCTCTCTGTATTTTCCAACTTACTACAGGTTTTGCAGCTCAGGTGATTTTGTAAAAACATAACTCTAATTTTTTACAACATTCATAGCTGAATGATTTTCTAACATCTGGGATGTTAATAAGTGTGCAAGATGTTGTGTTAATGTGCGTTGGCTGTGCAGCAGTAAAGCCCGTCCTTAAACTGTCATTGAAAACCTCATTGTAGTTCATAAATACATGTAAAACTTAGTTTTTCTAATTGAAAAGGGAAGTCGACGGGTTGACGGGAGCGTTGTTGATGTTCTTAAACTTTAAAACAATTTTTTTTAATCAGCTCATTGTTGCATGCTTTATGTTCTAGTCAGTTTTTACCTGCAGCTCCAGGCGGTGCTGACCTCCAGGTTTCCGGTCTGTGTTTCAGGCGGAGGTGGAGCTCTCCTCCCTGAAGGTCAGCCGTATTCCTGTGGTCGCTGCCGGGAGCTCGCCTGTCTTCCTGCCGCTCAGCAGAGACGACCAGGCGGGCCAGATGAACCCTCACCTCCCTGTCATCATCCTGGAGCCTTCCGGACTCATGCATACTCTTGGTGGTGAGACACACACACACACGCACTCACACACATCAATTCGTTGACACCTCTGGTAAAGATGTGTAGATTCCTTAAAAGCTAGTTACTGTAAGAGTTCATTTAAAATGTCCTGTTGTTTTTAGGGTTCATGTTCATGACTCATAACAGAACAGCGTCACATTTTCTCTGCGGCCATTTGATGCTTTCATCACTTATCTTGTTTTTGTTCGCCTCAGTGTTTATGTCTTCAGTTGTAACAAGTTCCTGTAAAATTATAGAGTTTCACAGAGTTTCATATTCCTGGGTTGGATCATTATGAAGAAAGAAACATGTTTATTAGTTATCCTTACTCCATACTTGTTTGTTGTCTTCCTTTTCTGTTTTTTCATCCCTCATGTCCTTCTTTCCTGCTGTTCTTCCTTCCTTCGTTCTTTCTTTGCTTTTATTGTTCTACCTCCATTACGTTTCTGCTCCTCCTTCTTTCTTTCTGCCTTTCATTTTCTTTCTCTCTCTTTCTTACTTCCTTCCCTCCTTCTCTAAGTCTGTCCTTCTTTGCTTCCTGTTCCTCCAAATAAACCTGCTGTAGAATCATCCACCATAATTTCATAGTGAACATTACTATTTATTACATTAAAGTGAACAGGATAGGTAAAGGTACAAAATGAGGAAAGATTTACATGCAAAATAGTTTGCACTTTTTCTCTATTCTTTGTCAAACAACTTCTCAGCATATAGCTGTCATCTAATAGTTATCATGGGGACTCAATGACCTTCAAGATGCCCCTCCATGCTGCTGTTCTCTTCCTGTCTTCCTGTTCAGACTTTCTTTTTCTCCAATACTTTAGTTTCTGAGCTGAGCAGCTGCTCCTGTATCCTGACATGCAGATCAGCAGTACATCTGCAGCACTTTAACTCTGGGATAAATATTAATCTTTTATGCATTTTTAATGTGAAGCCAGGTTTCTAAAATAAGAGATCATTTTTATTTTACACATCAGTCCCCGGGCTGCTAAATATTAGCCTCTATCTTTATTTAATAAACTTCCTCAAACGCATCTCAAGCTGCAAAGCTTTGCAATCTCAAATGCAGAAGTCGCATAATAAATGAGCTATTTTATTATCACTTCTAGTTCCATTTTTAACTTGTGCATCTATGATTTGTAAATAGACTGTTACACAAAGTTTCACTTTCTGACAAGTTAGAGCACCACCAACTGATTACTTTTGTAATGTTTCTCCTACGTACAGCTGTATTAATACACCCATCCTAAAATCCTTTAAACTAAATTAATAGGTTGTCAAATTATATGCTGTAAAATTCATAAAGTAATCTGGTTCTGTAAGTGCAGTTTTCCACATATATGTGCTAATCTGATCCATATTGCATAAATTTGTCATTTTCCTCTCTCTACTTCCCTCTCAGCAGTGCCGGGCCTCGACCCCGTCCCTTTGCAGTTTGCACCGCAGTTAGACCGGCTGTCTCCAGGGGGCGTGCAGGCCCACAAGCCACTGAGCAGAACCCGCTCAGAACCCCTTCCCCAGAGCCCGCGGGCCCTCCATAACCATCTCCTCCAGCAGCAGCACAACGCGCAGTTGCTGGAGAGGCTCAAGCAGCAGACGCACCTGGGAAAGGTACAGACACGTTCTGACCCACGTTTCATAAAATCTGTTCAAGAAAAAACACAAAGTCCTACCAATTAGTTTGGTGTCTAGTGCAAACATCTCATTACAGATGAAACAAGACAAAACTTAGAAGTAGCGTTTCAGCAAGAAATGTGAGCTTGTATTAAGTTAATAACTCATAAAAATGATGAAAAAGTTTTAGTGGTACGTGAAATAATTTGCCTGCGGAACTGTATTTTTCATTACTTTCAAGGAATTATTGACCTAAACTCACATTTTCTGCAGGTTTCACAAACTCAAATTTCATACCTTTTAAGACAATTATGAATGAAATGTAAGACCTGCACCATGTCAGGAATATACAAAAGAAACAGCCTTAAATATTCAGTGAGAAGTGTTGTGCTGTGTTGTGTTTGCTTTTTAAAAATAGTAAGCAACATTCAGAATGTTCTCACAGTCTCAAGGTTACAGTTTTAAATCTGTGCACCTCAGTTTCAGTTTCACATGTAGTTTCACTGCTATGATTTTAGCACTACTGTAATGACTCCAGTGTGATGCTTTATTTGAAGAAAAAAAAAGATAAAAATCCAGTTTCATTATTAGTAGTACATGAGAGGTGTACTTTCCCACAAAAATGTGGAGCATTTCTCCCCTTTGTCACTTAATTCATCATCTTTTTCACATCCTGAATGATCTCGGTGTTCCATCTGCCTGCAGCTGATGTCCAAGTCCAGCGAGAAGCCCAGACTACATCAGATCCCTTCTGAGGATATGGATTCTGAGGATGGAGGTCGAGCTTCACCCATGGAGACCAGCTACCAGAGCAGAGTGCGAGCGGAGTCACAGAGGGAGGCGGAGCCGACCGGATCCAAAGCCCACGAAGAGCAAATCAACCTACAGCATGCGCTCATACTCAACCAGGTTCGGGGGAAAAAATCACAAACATTCCTCCACAGAGAAGTTCAGAAGAAGCAGGCAGATCATCTGCTGTTTGTATTTATTCCTCTAGATGGCGACATAACTCTTTAAAAAGCAGATTCTCAGTTGTGTCTCTCCTTGACACTGTTCTGTGTCTTTCCCTTTGACCAGTCGTTGCTATATGAACAGCAGAAGCAGCTGCAGCAGATGCACCAGCAGATGGAAACCCTGGTTGTGCCCGTGTTCCGCGGCGGTGGGCCGGCCTGCGGGGCTGGCGTCCATCGGGCGCTGTCGCGTACACGCTCGTTGCCGGCCTCCACCTCGCTCACTCCGCCTGAGAACACCCTGAGCCTGACGGCGCAGGACACTGTCAGCAAACCCCGCTTCACCACCGGTGAGTCGCGTGTCCCAAAGGTGCCGACGTAAATATGACAGGACACAAATTTCATTTCTTTTCAGCAGGGGCGTCACTAAGTTTTAAAGAAAAGAGGGGCTCAGCCCCCGGGAGACAAACTGAATGTGAGCAAACATAGCAGGAAAGTACAACATTTCTCAAACAGCAACAAAACGGAAAAATTCCACTTTTAAAATTATGTTCAGGCTAATAAAAACATCTTCTACAACAAAATATGACTGTAAACAATCAATCACTATAATTAAATTATTTCTTAGCAAACATTGGTAAGATAATTATATATTTGTGTGGCTCTGCTAGCATTTGTGCAAAATGTCATGTTTTCAAGCAATACAGTCCATATTTTCCACTAACCCTGCAGACTGTTATTCTATAAATTAAAATATTATTAGAGTTGACAACAATTGTTGAATTAATCATATATAATCATATCGAGGTGGCTGTTGTTTCAACCTTCCAGACCTCTCAGGTCTTCTGGTTCTGTAGAACAGCATTTGGCTTCCAAGTACCACTAAGCTGAAACAAACATCCAGAAAACTGAAAAACAGCAGAAACACTGAGCTTCTTTACATCGAGACTAAAAACCCACCTGCTTAGAGTTGCTTCTGAATCAACATTGACATGTTGGTCAATGTTTCATTTATACATTTGGTTATTGTATGATGTTTTTATCATTTTTATTTTGTGTTTTTAAGCTGTGAAGCACTTTGACCTGAAATTAGATACTTACATACAGTTGACTGATATTTTAACTCATATTCTGAAAATAAATTTGTTGGCAGGTAGGATACAGGTCAGCCTGTCACAATAAGCAAAAAAATCTGTTGATCACATGATAATCAAAGTTAGCTCAATAATTTCCAGTCACATAATTGTTTATTTTCCTTATGAGTCTCATTCACTTCCAAAGACAATGGATGACAAAAGGCGTCACTCTGGCGCTTAACTGGCATTTTTGGTTTTTTCATAACGATTAATACTTTAAGAAGAAGGATTTTGTTTATTGAGACTTTATAATCCATTTTATTAATGCTTTCCATTGTGAGTGACTTCATTATTATTTTATTTGTTGTTTTTGTTTATTTTATTTCTTTGAGATATTTAAAATGTTTTCCAGTTCTAGTGTTAATTGTTGTTTACAAATGAAAGTTTATTGATCGTTGAGAGAGTGTACCAAATGTTGTTGGGTTTTTTTTTGCAATATTTCTGGAGCAATTGATTGTCCAGCAAGTTACTGTGACAGGCCCAAATTTACTACTGCACACATTAAATGTGCTTTTACGTCTTTGAATGAATTTGTTAAGCTACTGATATATTTCAGTTTGCTGTTCAGTACATTTTTGTCTGTGTTGGAAAAAAACCCAAAAACATTCAAGTCAATTCAGCCAGTTTTTCTGTATTGGATCAGTATCAACAAATGCGACATAACGACATTGTTGTCAGAAATCTAATATATCCCTATTTGGAATACCTTCAATTTGCATAAAATCTGAATATTAAAAAAAAAAAAAAAAAAACATCAGACACTGTCGATATAAATATAAGATCATTTTTAAAATATAATAATAATATATATTTTTTTAAATTTTCTGCATAGTGATCAGATTTTTACTGATAGCCTGGACTTTTCCTGGATATGAGGGTATTGAACATGCTGCTGAATATTGATCATTATTTTGTTGTCTCTTTTTTTTCTTTTCTTCAGGGCTGGTTTATGACTCTCAGATGCTAAAACACCAATGCACATGTGGAGACAACAGCAGTCATCCAGAGCATGCTGGGAGAATACAGAGCATCTGGTCACGACTGCAAGAGAGAGGCCTGAGAGGGCAGTGTGAGGTAAAGCACACACGCATACTCACAGTTAGCATTAAAGGATGACTTTGCATGTTGCTGTGTACAAATTTCTGTGTTCTACCACTTTCCCTTCTTTGTAGGATTTAATGTAAATTTGCAGTTTTCAGAGAAGCCTTCATGTTTTGTTCTTGCAGAGTATCCGCGGTCGAAAGGCCAACCTGGAGGAGCTGCAGTCGGTCCACACGGAGCGCCACGTGTTGCTTTACGGCACAAACCCCCTCAACAGGCTGAAACTGGACAACCGCAAACTGGCTGGTTGGTGACGCCCTGCACCGATAGATCCAAATGTTTTGGAAATGTGTTCTCTATTCAGAGCCATTAAATCTACACTGAAGATAAAACATGCTAAAAATAGATTCAACTGTTTCTGTTTTACAGGAATCCTCTCACAAAGGATGTTTGTCATGTTGCCATGCGGCGGAGTCGGGGTAAGAGGAAAACACTCATCTTTTAGTGGAAGCTGCTTAATACGTCCAGATTGTTGTTTTGATGAAAGGTGACATTGTTTTAAAGAAAGATGGAAAAAATGAGCAAAAGAAGGATGGCAGCAAAGATATCAAAGAGAGAAAGAAAGCAAGCGGACTTGGTCGTCCTGACAGCCTGTGTCGAATCGTGACAGATCGGACTAATGAAAGCAGCATGTCCGTGACCAGGGATGAAAAATATGCTTTGGATTTTTACTGTCAGCCAGATGGACAGAAAAGAAGGAGAAAAACAAAAATAGAATTATGGAATGTGGAAAATATAAAATGATGACATTAAAGGTACAATTTGTTTTTTTAAATTTTGTGTAAAGTTATTATGAGTAGCATTCACTTTGTCTGAAGATGTGGCAGCTTGTTAGGAAGTGGGAAAAAAATCCCTCATACTGTTTAGATTATTTTAGCAACTTAACAAAAATGTTAACTTCTACTATAGAGAGTAGCTCAGGGTTGTTCAAAGTGCGGTTTATGGGCCATTTGTGGCTCCCGGATTGCTTTTGCACACCCCCCCCAACTGCAATTTGACAATCCTATAAATTCGGTGGTTGATGCAAGTGGAGACTTTGACTTATGACAAATTGAAATCCTTTAGTAACAGTGAATCAAGGAAGTACAAAACAAAATATTTACCTTTTAGTAGCCCCACTTTGGTCTCATTTTTTGATTTGATTGTCTTTTTTTACTTGAAAGCAGACTATGGTGTACTAAAAATGTTTTTTTTCTGAAGTCAAGTAATTGAACTCTGTTAAATTTTCAAAAGGGTGACTAAAAATATTTTTTAGGTGTAGAGAATAAACAAAAAGGGATTTTCCATTCCAAAAAAAATAGAAAACAGTCAACCTCCAAAATATCTATGTATGAGTTTTTCTTCTAAAGAAGGCAAACATAAAACCTTATTTGTGTTTTGATCTACAGTCATTTCAATACCTTTTTCTCTCACTACTCTATTACATTTATGAGCTTCCCTGGTCGTAGAGGAGTGTGTGTCTAAATGTTGATATGTTTGTTGTGATGGACAGGTGGACAATGACACCATCTGGAATGAGTCACATACTTCCACGGCATCACGCATGGCGGCGGGCAGCGTCGTTGAGCTGTCATTCAGGGTGGCCAAAGGAGAACTCAAGGTCAGAAACCAGAGAGCAGCCATACTAAACCGTTAGCTGAAGTCGAATAAAAATGTTTCCTTCAGTTGCAATTAATGCTGAAACTTGATGTACTCGCAGTGAAGTACATCTACAACCCAGATTTATCTGCTATGTATTTTTTCAGTTTGTTGAACATAAAATAGCAGAACAATAAGCAGGAGGAAGCTTATTGAACCTGATTCAATCAGAATCAGGTTCCTTCAATGTAAAATGAGTCTTTTAATTTGGATGGATGATATTAAATTAACATTCTATTGCCTTTTGGCCTAGTTTTAATATGTACGCTTTTATGAAAGCAAAGCAGAGAAAATTATAGTTTGAGCACAAACTTAACAATCATAGCCATTTATTTTTATCATCAGAAGTCAGATTTACAGGAATCCTCTCACAAAGGATGTTTTTCCCATTAAGGATACGATAGATGCCTGTTTTTAATTTCAACATATACTAATTTACTTCTTTGCAGGAACTAATTTGTTTAGTGGAAGAACTAGTTTGTCATTGGTAGAAAGAATCACATCTGTTTTTGCCATGACTACTTCAAGTGACCTTCATAAAAAATGTGTTTTACTGTTAGCAGTAAAGAATATTAAAGATGAAAAATTAAAACAAATCATTTAATATTAAATTTGTTATGGCAAGTTAAAATGCAGCATGCTGACAATAGCATCATAATTAATGAGTCGCAGGTTAACACGTCTTTATCTGCTGTACAGAATGGCTTTGCTGTGGTCAGACCGCCAGGACATCACGCCGACCCGTCCAACCCAATGTGAGTGTGTATATATGCTCTGTGTTTTGTACAACCACAGTAAATGTACTTTTTTTTTCTCCTCATTTTTTCTTTTGTTGTTTGTTTATGGGCTTTTCTTCTCTGAAAACCTTTTTGGAATAGTCTGATGTGTTTGGAGACGATTTTCAGCAACTTTTCCGTTGCAAATGCTATAAAACCATTTCTTAGTAATGGAAGCTTGACAAAGCAATAGAAACCAATGCAGTAAACATTTAGGTAATATTTTGAGAAATGTGTCTGTGATCAGAATTTGTGTTCAGAATTTACAGAAGTGAAATATAAGATATTACTAATTTTAAGAGGACCTTATAACAACAGTCCATCTAATTTAGGCTTAGAATATTGCTTTGATAAAAATGTGAAAATGAGATACATCCATCTTTCTATGAATTTTAGGCTTTCTGTTTACAACCAACAAGCCAAAATTTATTTCTTTAATTTTGAATCTTTTCTTTATCTGATCAAATTTTACATTTCAATCAAAAAAAGTCATATATTTAATTTCTTTAATTTTCCAATAAAACTGATTCTGACTCTATACTATTTATTACTAACAACACCTTAATAAAAACATTTTAATGCTTTCATCAAATATAAATTATAAAAATAATCAAACCAGCAAAAGGAAATAGTAACACAAATTAGTTCATAATTGTAGGATTTTCTGTTCTAACTAAACTTGTTATTTTTCATGTTTTTATTTAGCTTTTATTTTTCTGTGTTTGTCTTTTAGGGGTTTCTGTTATTTTAACTCTGTTGCCATAGCTGCCAAGCAGCTTCAGCAGAAGCTCAATGTCAGCAAGATCCTCATTGTCGACTGGGTGAGACTCTGTCAGCAAAGCCTTAATACAAATTCATATCCTGTGTGTGTTTTATTGATTTAATTAGTGGATATTCTTTTTATAGGACGTTCACCATGGTAACGGCACCCAGGAGGTGTTCTACAGCGACCCCAGCGTTCTCTACATTTCACTTCATCGCTACGATGACGCAAACTTCTTCCCTGGCAGCGGTTCACCAACTGAGGTTGGGTGAAAATAGCTCTTATATTCAATGAAAAGCGAAGCATCAGAGAAACACTGGGCCTGACTCTGTATCATGGGTTTCAGGTCGGTTCTGGAGCCGGTGAGGGCTTCAATGTGAACATAGCGTGGACTGGAGGCTTGGAGCCGCCCATGGGAGATGCTGAGTACCTTGCTGCATTCAGGTACAAGTGGCTCCTTCTCTTTGTTTCACCGCAACTCACTGAAACAGGGGACATTTATCTCAGTTAATTGGTTTGACATTTTTATTGATTAGCACTAGAATAATTCACACAAGCCTTAATTAGAAAATTTCCCCTCGTTTCCTTCACACCGAGCCACAACAAACAACCTGGCTGATCAGCGTCTCGGCTGCACATTGTCTCTGACGCACTTCTGGCGTAATTGAGAATCTTTGTCATTTGGAGAGCATGTGTTGGCTGCTCCCTGGTTTTTCCAGCAGCCTCAGATGTTTTACTTTAACTACTCTCCAGGTCTTGTTTTGGATAGACTGCGGATGCATGACTTCCTGGTGGTGGGTAAGGTAATTGTCATTGGTGGGTGTTTAGCACCAATAAAGAATCAGTCGTGTGGTCGTTTTGGTCGTCTGCGATATTAAACCTGGAGGAAACGTGGGGAAACTGTGTGGTTATGGGAAAAAGAGCCACAGCGAAGAGTTGACAGATGCACATGTGCCTACTTGTTTTCACATAGAAACAAACCAAATCCATGTTTCTATGATTCTTCTAAGGAATGGATCAAAATTCACAGAAAACAGTTGAATGTCTGCTGACGATCTGCTTGAAATGTGTCGATCCTTCAAATGTAATAGCTTTTATATTAGCTAGTTTTAAGAAAAAAATGAACTGTATTCTGTTGAGACTGACCCTGTGAAGTATGAACCTGCCGTCTGGCATTTCCACTGACTGCACCGGTAGAAAGACAGAAATTTTCATTGTGACTCTAGAGAGTTTCTGAGACAAAGCAGATCATGTTTAATGGCAATAAACAATAAGTGTCCAGTTTTTAGCCACGTTGCATGTTATTGTTTACATCCAGAAATTATGCGCCCGGGCCTCACGCCGGAGGAAAAAAAAGCTATTTTTTAACATGCCATCTCTACCTGTGCTGCCTCTGTAGAACAATTTTGATACCTAAATGAAATCTGTACACGTGGCTATCACTAATTTATTTCAGTGTCCCAAAGCAAAAGTAAGTATAACTCAAAACCACTCGTTTTCTTTTTCTTTCATTCTCTGGGTCGGATGTGCTACACATAGGCCTGACAAAAGTTTCACTGGTGTTCAACACCAAAAAAAAAACAAAAAAAACATTTACTGCACAAAGAACAGAAAAATCCATTACAGTATTTTCAGGCTCTACGTTTATTTTGCAGGTATTAATAAGTGATGGTATAAACACAGCGGTGGCTGATGAGCTAATTTAAACACCTGCTCTTTTGATGTTCTGCTAGAGAATAGAGTTGTGGCTCCCTTATATTTTAATTGCAAAGAAACTGAATTGAGCAGCACATCTATATGTTGAAGTTGTCAAAGTCAAGCCAGCATAACTGACCTACTTCCCTCTCCCTCATTATTTTTTTAATTACAACTTTTTATTGACTTGTGAAATTGGACGTTGTTTTCCAGTTGTTGTAGTGTTGACAATTAGCAGCAACACATTGTGCTCCTTTTTCTTTGACATACGATGCACGCATTTAAGAGTTAGCGCATTATATTGACAACTTAACGGCTAAAACCAGTGCTAGCTAATCATCATCAGTGAGCAGCTTTTTGCCCTCCTGTTGGAGGCCCTCCAGTCTCAACCTTATGGCCTCAAACAGGTGTCCTCCTGGAATTGCCCTATATTTAGTTTATAGCATTTCATCATAACAAACATAGTTATAAGATTTTAAGATACACATTCTGTTCTACAAAGTATATTTATTGGGTTAGGCCCAAACGAGATGCTTTAAAGTCCTCCAGCTCTTCACCACCACTTCTTCGCATTGTGTAGCACACAATGCTTTCAAACATTTTATGGTTTGAATGAAAAAAAAATCTTTACCGGAATGTGTTTTACGAGGATAAGTTTGTGTGCGTTCATGCTTGAAAGAAGCTGCTTTGCTGCATTTTCACCGTATCCCTGCACTCTTACCTCTCCACCCCCTCAGTTTCCATCACGCCAAGCCTCGCCAAGAACCGGCACGTTCCCCCTCTTCCTGTCCTCTCTTCTTATTGATCTTTAATAAGCATCCCCTCCTCTCCTTTAACCTCACCCCGCCCTGTTCCCATCAGGATGCCTGTAGTTACGCGCTCCGGGGGGCACCGTGCTAGTTTTTAATGGGCCTACAGAGGAGGTGGGGTTGGTTTTTTTGCGGTTTACTGTTGTTTACGAGAGCGAGTGAAGAGTGGGCTCATGCTCTTTGTTTCAAGGAATCCTTGTGGGAATCAAAACCTTTCTGTGTTTGTGCAATTTGTGTTTACGTTTCTATGCAAATTCTCAAACTCATTTGTACTTTTTGACTCTTTGCATCCTTTAAGCTCACGTTGTCCGTTTGCATGGTGGTATGAAGGGGAGGGAGGTCTACTTAGACCCCAGGCAGAATAATGAAAGTAAATGGATCCCAGATGGACTGTTTTTCCTCTCTCTCTTTCTGTGTCCAATGACGTGAAGAGAGTGACAAGCCTCTAATGGGAAACAGACCCGCGCTTCGCGGCTTTGAACTTCACCGACCTGCAGCGTGGGGCTGCATGAGTCGAGCTTCTTTCCACCTCTTAGCCCCGATGCAGTTTTTTAAAAAAAATTTTCCCGCAACAAACAACAACGTTGTGGAAATATGCATCATGCATAAGAACTGACAGCAAACTCACTCCGTCAAGTGGACCTGTCTCACTTGAGGTATTGTAGCTTCTCCAACAGAGAAACAATAGTCCTTTGTCAACGCAGTTTGAGCTGCTGAGTTTGGGATCTGCCACAGTTTGTGTCACTTGTCAAGTTAATGAGTCTTTAGATTGGATCATAAGTATTTGTTATCTTTATGAGGCTGTCCAGGTAAATTGCTGACAAACCAGAAGATATAGCTTCATTTATATGTCTTATCAATATCATTATTTACAGTTGAGCTGACTTACACTTGGAGAGCTTCATTGTTGCTGTAGCTCTTTAATTGGGCTCATAATAACTCCTTTAATGTGTTTATATCGTTCATTCTTAAATTGTTCTCCCACAACACTTCACTTTAATCTAATGCCTTATTTACACTGAGCTGTACAACATGAGTCAGATCTGTACCGGGTTACAATAGTTTGGATTTTTTCATCATAGTTTTATTTCATTGTGGCCTTTTTCTCTTACGTAGATAGCTTTAATTAGTTTTTAGAATGTGTTTGCTAGTTTTTATTAGCTATTTTATTTAAGTACTGTTTAGTTTTAGTTTAGTTTTTATTTGTCACAGTAAAAGTTTCAGTTTTTCATACTTTGCTTTATTTTTCAGTGCAGAATTCAAGAATGTCAAGTATTTATTTATTTTTTATTTTTTTTATTGATTCGGGTCATGAACACTCAACAGAAGATCTCATTAAATTATCAACTGACCAGTGTTTTCTCACAACATTTGCTGCCGCCATTTTGCGACTGAGTTATTGTGGAGTGCCATAATTTGCCAACAGCTGACATAAACTGCTGGTGCAGGGGAAAAAATCTGTTTCACATCACTTCAAAAGACTAATAAATGGACTCATGAACAAGAAAATGAAAAATATTATATCAATAACTTGTATGTTTTGGCTCATTTTATAAATGCAATATAATTTCAGTTAGTGATACTTTTTCCCTATTGATTAACATTGTTATTTACTTCAGTTAACAAAAATGTGGTCCGGCTTATTCAGGAGAATATTTCTGCCACTCTCAATATGTAGACTGAAAATTGAAGTTAAATAGACACAGTAAAAGTAGCCTGTTATGTGAATTGTCCTTAAGGCCATCCAGTTTAAAGCACCTAATCAGCAAAAACATTAGTTGTTTTTTTTTCAACTTCCTGTATGTCACACCTCTCTATATAATAGCAGCACCGCATTCTGGCAAAAACAAAAACTACAACCAAAAGGTAGAATCAAAGCAAAACAGGTTTTACAAAGTACATGTCACAAATGGCCCGTTTTTATATGGATTTACAACTGAATGTGGCCAAGAATGCTGTGATAGGGGGCGCTACTTTGTCTGTTTCAACAGAAACAAACAAAATAGAGTATAGACCCGGGCCATACCGCTCAGTGGATATGAGGCGTAAATGTTAGAAATACATCAAAGTATTGCAGTAGTTACTCCTGTTTTACCTTTATTTGAAAAGATCGACTGTTTAAAGACAGTAATGATCCCTCTACTATTTTTAGCCTCTACCTTGTAGAACATCTTTCTATTCTTGAGACTAGATAAATATACTCACTGAAGTGGTCACACCCATGAGCTTTAAGGTCTTTTATTGGTATTCTGTGGGATAGAACAAGGCAAAGCAGTGCATCATTGTGAACCTGTTCAAAGATAATTGTGTGTTTGCAATAAAGATGGTTTCTAAAAATGTTTATGATGACTGTGGCTTGTATTCAGCCCTCATGAGTTAGCACTTTGTTAAAATCACATTTGCAAGAGGCAGAAACCACGTTTCACCATGGGGATGCTGTGTTTATTGTAATGTGCATTGTTAGTTGGGAAACGCTTTCAACCTTGTCTTGCATAAACACCACTTTTGTGAAGTGCACAGTTAAGTTGTTTTGCTTATGCTGGCTTCAAATTAAACATGTGCACTTAGATTAAGTAATAAAATGGCTTCTAAAGTCAGTTTGTTGCACAATTTTTAAAACAATTTTATTTAAGGATGCTATGAATAAATGAATGATGAACTTAGATTTATTCAATTTTGATAAAATGTTCTTTCCACTTTAGAAATATGCTCTACTTTGTGGTGATCAATGCCAAAAACATTAAACGTTGTGGTCATAATGAGACAAAACGTAATGGTAAAATGAGGCCTGTTTCAATAAACAGTAAATCAATTGATCGCATGAAAAATTTAAATGAGTTCAATAATTTCAATTTGCATGATTTCAGTTTTTTTCTATTGTCTCTTTCTTCTATATACTGGATGGTTAATAAAGTCTTCAGTTTGGTGCTTTGTCTCAATTTGCCCTTTTTCCGAATAACAATTTCATTTAGAGATGTTATGATTCATTTCATTAGTTTTTTCTGTTGTTTTTCTTTATTTGTTTTGGATATTTAAAATGTCCTCCAGTTCCAATGTTAAATGCTCATTAGAATTGAAAGTTTATGGATCTTTGAGAATGTGTTCTTGCAATATTATGACATTACTATTATAGTAATTGAAAATGGTACCAAAACAACAATGTCATTGTTTATCGTAATAACATGAATTTATAATCAAGCAATATTGGTTATGGTTACAGGTCTAGGTAGAATTCCTTAATCCTATGATTCCTTCAGTAAAAATTACTCTGATAGTACACTAATATTACATAGAAACAACAATGCAATCAAATAACATGGTGCAAACATTGCATTTACTTTTTATTAGTTGAAAAGGCCAAAAATAAAACAATGCGTCCTCAAATTCCTTAGAGCAGGATTGAATGTTGAAGTTAGGAACCTTTAGGTTGGTGTCTTTGCTCCATGAAGTGATGGATCACCTGTTTGTGTCCCTGCAGGTCTGTGGTGATGCCCATTGCCCAGGAATTCTCTCCAGATGTGGTTTTGGTGTCGGCCGGGTTCGACGCAGCTGAGGGGAACCCTGCTCCTCTGGGCGGGTACAAAGTCTCTGCCAAGTGTAAGCACAGCTCTTCAACCACAGGCAGTGTGGTCTTGTCTTCTTTGAAACTTTAATTGCCTGATATTTATTACAGTCCTTGGGACAAAATTGATAGTTGGGCCTTGTGTCCAGTACGGAGCAAAGAGCAGGATCACATCTCACCTCATTTATTATGTGGTTATTTATTACTTTGTTGCTATGCCACAATGTATGAAACGTACATTTTTATTTATAACATTTGAGACAACATTAATTAAGTAAGACACTGCAAACATGAAAGCTCTGAGCCAGGTGTACTTTCTATTGAAAACTAGAGGCAGTATTATGAAAAGTTGACTTTTTTAAGCTTAACATCATGTTATAATGTTATTCCCTCATCAAAACATACCTCTTAATCTCCATGGCAACCATTCAACTTAAAAAAAAGACAAAATAAAGATTAAAAAAAAACTAGCCAGCTGCAATTAGCAAACTGCTGCTGAGCTCATTAAGTGAGTTATTATAAGAAACACTGGTAAAAAAAAAAAGAACAGGAGCTTCTTTAAAAAGACAGAGGCTTAATTTAAAGGCATTACATTACTGTGTCATATTTCTTTTATAACAACAATTAAATAGCAGAGCTACTTAATTGTACTACAAATTGATTCTATGTTGTTGGAAAACACTTGAAGTGGCCTTTTCCATTTTTGGCTTTGTCACTGTTTCCATAACAGTTTTTGTAGCTGTTGGTGTTGTAACTGCAGGTCACCTGCCAGCCTTACTGCTCCTCATGTTTGAACTAAGCCATTCCTCCTGTGAATGTTTCTGTGTTTGCTTCAGGCTTTGGCTTCCTAACCCGCCAGCTCATGTCCCTCGCTGGAGGCCGTCTGATTCTGGCCCTTGAGGGAGGTCATGACCTCACAGCCATCTGTGACGCATCTGAAGCCTGCGTCAGTGAACTACTAGGTATACAGGTAAGGCATCCTGGGTAATTGAATTTGTTAAAAGTAACTAATTTATGTCCTAGAATTACTTTTTTAGGTCTACTGCTATTTTCTCTGATTTAACAGAGTTTTTTTTTTTTGTCTTGGCTTTGACTCTGTCTTGCAGGATGCAATGCCAGAGGATGTTCTGCTCCAAAAACCCAACGCCAACGCAGTGCGCTCCCTCCAGACTGTGATAGAAATACAAAGTGAGCAGCAGCAACACGTTAACTTTAACTTATCCACTCTCTGCCTTTTTCTTGTGTGAGCAATTAACAGCTGTCCCTTGGTTCAAAGCAGGAGTGTTCAAAGTGAGGCCCAGGAGCCATCTACAGTCCCTGACCTGATTTAAAAAGTTTAATAAACTGACATATAGAGTTAAAATCTACCTATAAAATGTTAGGTTCAATGCAAAGTGATCATCCTTTTCCAAGATTTCTACTGTCCTTCAAAAATGATGCTAATTATGGCCGTATCCTGACTTGCACTATGACGTTTACATTGGCGCACCCAAAACTGCTGTTAATTGTTGTTTTAAAATGTCTCTCAATACAACAAGTCGTTTTAAATAAAGACTAATCTTAAACCTGTGTTTATTGCTCAGAATAGACAACATATTTTTTTCAGATTTCTTCAGTTAAACCTGAAATACAAAGAGTGAATTCTGCAAGTCATTGACTCAATCTGCTGAGATAGAAACTTTTTAATAACCTACTTTGAATAATTAATTGAGCTTAATTGGAATGTATGTGTGATTAAATTTAAATGACTTTCTTATAAAGTGCCATGAGATGACATTTGTTATGAATTGGCTGAATTTGAATCATTACATGAACTAATAAGCAAACTGGATGACTGTGTGTGCGCGCTGCAGGTCAGTACTGGCAGAGTGTGAAGGCCCACAGTGGATCGGTGGGCAGGTCGTACGCTGCCGCTCAGAGTCGGGACTGCGAGGAGACGGACACTGTAAACGCTTTGGCCTCGCTCTCTGTGGGAGTCATCTCCAACAAGAGGTACACGTTCCTCCCAACACGCCAAAAACACACTCACACACAATGCCATCTGACTAACGTGCTCCTTCCCTCCAGGCTCCTGGACGAGCCGATGGATCACGAAAGCAACTCCATGTAGGAGAACTTGCAGAAATTCAAGAAAAAAAAAGTGCCTCACCAACCACGGGTTCTCCATGGCGCTGTCTGGGTTTTTTGCAATGCCACTCAGCCCATCTCCTTCTTCCCCACACCAGTTAGCCTTCTTCACACTCAATCACACCAGCCGACACACAAGATCGAACCTCAGATCTGGTAACCACTTGTAGCACTACCTGCAGCTGAGAAACCTTGGGAAACCTCACCAAAGAGCAATACAAGTCCACTCTGACAGACTCCTCATCTCTCCTGACTGACAGCCACTCAAAGAGCTATCGGAGACAAAAAAGAAATAAACAGTTTTGGAGATCAGTTGAGATTCTTCTTGAAGCACTGTGTACCAGCAGCTGATTTGGTGCCTTAACCTCACCCCGTGTATTTTTATTTTTATTTTTTTTTGTGAAGCCCCAGCAACAGGTTTCACAGTGAGAAGGACTTCACATGTGAGACCTGGAGCAAACGCTGACCAAAGGGGACGATAAACAGACACACCTTGTCGGACGTGCAACGGGTCAACACACAACAGCATTGCAACAAAGACGGCGACAAAGAGAAACGTGCTGAGACAGTTTAACCACTAGACCATGACGGTAAAGAACTCAAGGAAAGAGAGTGAATGAAGACACAAAATGGACAACTGTGGTTTCTAGAAAAAAAGGACAATTGTCCTTTGTTGTTTTATTGCACTGTTCAGTCCTTAATGTGAACCATAAGAAATTCCAAAGCTCTGGGATCACACAATTCCTCTTTGTAGTTTTTTTTTTCCGAAGATCTGGATAAAATAGTGTTTGTTATATTGTTTCCAAATTCTTTTTTTCCCCCCTTTCTTACTCTTTTTATGCTGGCCGAAATACTGTAGAGTTGTATTTCCTGCCAACTAAACCATAAAAGTAGGCGAGAATATCTTTTTTTCACTGCTGTTCAGCATCTTACTCTGTCTTGCATACAGACATAAAACTCAGTCTGACATGTACAAAGCAAAGATGAACTATTATTTTACCACTAGTATTGAATGCTATATATTGATGTTTTATTTTTGAGACTAAAGGCGTGATCATTCCACCCTGGCACCACTGAAGACTATTGTATTGTTCTATATAAGCAGTACTGTTGAAGCACTTACTATGACAAGAGATGCACCAATCAAATTTCTGTGGCCAATTTCCGATATCCAGTGTTATGTAAAGATCCCAACTATTAATGTCAATGTGACCCAATTCCACTTTCTGGTTAAAACCTCTTTTTTATTTTGAAATATGTTGTGCATTCAGTACAACAAAGCAAGACAAAATCAGCAAACGCAAACAGACATGTTGGCTGCAAGAACTAAAGGAGCAACCACAAAAACCACAAAAAATGAAAGCATAGTGTTGATCTGACATTGCTGACATTGGGGCCATAAATAAACCACAAAAGTCTGTAAACAAAGGGTTATATAAGATGATACTGAAATGGAATATGGAGGCATAAACTTTGTAGATGAGGTTCTGTGAAACAATGAACCAGAAAAGCATCAACACGTTCAGTCAATCTGTACTGTCGACCCCGGGTGTTTCCTGGGTTAAGGGCCATGGATATGTGAGACGCCCTCTAAACATGCCTATAGGTGCCTATTTTAATAATTGAAACATCAACTATATCGTAATAAACATTATATAATATACATTGGAAACCGTCTTAGAAGCTAATAGTGCAGTCCTCCTTATTTCCATCCTTTGGGGTTTCACCCAATTAGCATCACAAAAAATAAATGCGACTCCTGGATTCACTGATATACAAAAAAACAGCCAATTGCAGCTTCCCAAACTTAATCTTCTTTTGAATATATTGAGTATTATATTCCTTTGAGGAAAAATATTGCATTTAGCTTTGGATGATGCTACAGGAGGACCTCCTCAGTTGAATCACACTTATGAGACCTGGAGGACAGTGAAGGTAAATGCTGCTCAGGATTGCCTGGGCGTAATGAAGCTTCTAGAACCTGTAATTAAAAGCCTGCATGTGTCAGAGAACACTTACTGTAATATGGGCTTTTTACTATTTTAAAATAATGACAAAATTATTTCAGAATTGTTATTTAGCTTTTAGCATCATGCATTAGCAATTAGCATGACTATCATTGGTAAACAATCAATCCTAGATTTTTTTTATTTTTGTTATTTCCTTTATTTAACCAGGTAAACCCCGTTGACATCTGGATTTCATTTTCAAGAGGACCTGGGCAGAAGTCTAACCCTTGTTCTTTCAATTAGCTCCTTCTACTTTTCTGGTTCATTTTTCTTAAATTTTAAACACTTCACAGAGACCAAAAGTTGCTAACTTCGAGGACTCTAGTCTTAAAAAGCAACTTCCACATCAAAGAGAGTTGTAGTTAGCACCAGGTGTGGTGGGGGGATCAAGCTGAATTTCGGACGATATCAGCCACAAGACTGTTGCATCTCTTACAACGACCCAAAGAAAAATCTGCCTTAAAGCGATCTGCTGCTGGCAGAGGGGGAACTGTATGGAAGTGACATGAGAACAGGCCTAATCTTTGGAATATGGTATTCTAACTTTTGGACTAAGGCACATGTCACATATGCAGTCTTTTCTAAACTTTTTGCTTGACTATAATGACTCACTCTGTTCAGATGTTTTTTTAAGGAACGAGTCTCATTTTAATTAAGAAAACAGTTTTTGTTTGTTGAAGAAAAAAAAATTGTTGGTAGTTGTATCTCCATGTGAGAATCTTCTGTGTATCTGTAGCAACTCCTCTTGTCAAACAGCTACAGTTTACCACAGAAGCTGATGGTGAGCAAGCCAATCTTTCAGGACTTTGCATACCAATATCTATGAAAAGCAAGATTGTGTTTGTTAGTTGTAAAATGGAGATTGTCAAACTTTGTTCTATGCATCCTACATTACACCGGGTTTGGATAAGTCGTGCTAACATTGTTTTAGACCAGAGCTGAGGTTGGCTGCGTGTATTTTCTGGATGAAAATGGTTCAAACTTCTCATACTTCTGGACACTAACCTCCTAAAACTTATACTAATTAAGATGCAATGTGGCTTCATAGTTTCTCTTTGCTATTTGTTTTTTACTCAGAAATTCTAAACTTTTAATCTTCTCTCACAATTTGATAGTTTACTCAGAGTATTGTTGATTTTTTTTTTTTTACTTCTTCCGTGTTTAAAGATGAAGGAGACTTGAACTGAAGGAAATATGGGTTTGTCACTCAGAAAACTGTGCCAGCCTTTTTCACAATCAAACCCTGCAGATTTTCTTCCCAGCAAAGGTTGGACTGTTTCTGCAGAACTGAGAGAAGTCTGTTTTCTGTCATGGCGAGTTTTCTGTCATGGTTGGAGTTTGTTCCTAATTTTCTCAGTGGGAGGTGTCAGCATTGAAACAAAGCGCTGTGTCTGTCTCATCCAGCGTGGCAAGCAGCAGCTGCATGCGTGTCGTCTGTGAGGTAAAATGTTGTCTGTGATTGTGTGTGCACTTCTCTCATGTGTTGTGTGCATGCGTTGGCAAGTATTAAAGTGTCCGAGTGCATCCATCGAATACTGTAAATGACCTCTGTATGATAGTTCCCCCCTTGTATTTGTCTTACGAAGAGGCCAGTTCTGCCTCAGCTCTTCATTCCTTTCATTACTGATGTAATTTGTACATTCTTCTTAAAGAAAGATGCTGTAAATAGAAACTGAGACCAAAATACACGTCACACGTGTGCCTTGACGCATTCAGTAGCATGTGTATTGGTAGTTTTTAAACTAACTGGACTTAAAGTAACTTTGTATCTCAGAACATGACATTGAAATCTTTGTTTCATTCTTACTTAACTTGTATTTTTCATTCACATTTCCTACTATGTGTATGTATAGAAAGATTGTCTATTTTATACTTTTTGCCTTTTCTTCTTGATTAAAACAATTCTCTGCTCTAAGGCTTGTTTTTGTCTTTAATTCTTGTGCAAACATGCACTATGCTCTTTGTCTTGACTTACTGCTTTGACTTACACTGTAAACTGTAACATTGTATTTAATTGAAAAAGATTACTGATTATAACTTCACTTTGGTCAAGATTAGAGAAATGAAGTGATTTTTTTATTTTATTTTATTTTTACAAAGGTATACTTAGCACTTGATTGACATACATTGAGGGCCTTTTGAGGTAAAAACATTTTAAAAATCACTTTACTTAATTTGAAGTCATGTGAAAGGGCATGTGACAGTCAGAATTGGCCGGCAAGTAATCCCACAATGTGGGATTATTATTATTATTATTATTATTATTATTATTATTATTATTATTATTATTATTATTATTATTATTATTATTAGTGCCAGCAGCAGCTAACAACTTTTTTGTCACAATTAGTTTTAAGATAGTTTAAGATATTTAAAATGAAAAGCTTCATTCATGCAGTCATTCAGATTGAGCCTCTTTCAGAGCTCAGTCTTATATGCTAGAAAATATCTTAGGAGATATTTCTGTGCATACATAGCTACAAGTGAGTTGTTTGTTCATCCTCATTACCACCCTATTGTGTTTGTTTTATTGGAAAAAGTGAGCAACCGATCACTGCTTTCTGTATTTTCTGTCAAAGTTTGAGTAGAAGAAACAAATAAAAAGCAGGAGCCAGGAACCGTTTCAATCCTGTAATTTCTTAAGTAAATAGTTTTAAAAAAGTAGCTTTAGAAATCTTTGGGGTTTATCGGCATGTACCAAAATTAGAATAACTAATTAGGTTTAACAGTGTAAAAGTTTTAAACTGAGTTCAAAAATAGGAAATTCAAAAGCTTAAATCTTTCAATATTCTACTTTATCACCATTACATTGTAATATTGTGCTCCATCATGTTAAAACACTCCCTGACTGTTGGAAACGGTTGTTTTTGGAGGACGTTTTGATCCCACTCTTTATTGATGGCAGAGGTTTTGGGGTAGAAGTGGGAGTCAGCCGTCTCCATTGGATGAGAAGCAGCATGACACATGCGTTGCATCATGACTCGGGGCTCTTGCTCTCTGATTTTCCAAAATGTCCAAACCAATCAGAAGAAGGATTTATTTCTTTAGAGCAAACAATCTTACACCTGCTTATTTGTGTTCATCCTAGTATTTTCTGCAGAACTTTGCTCTTTGTTGTTTTTCTACGACTTGGTGGGAGAACTCAACTATAAGCTGTGCATTTCATGAAATCCAGACTTTGTGGAAAAGAGACTAGAAGAAAGACATTGTTAAGAGACAGATGTAAGAGATCCTTTTTGCAGTTTGCTGCCAGGCATCACCCTGCACAAAATATTCTTTTGGTTAACAATGGTTGTGGCAGCACCATACTGTGGGATTTTTTTTTTTAGTAGGTAACCAACCTGCTGAACTTTGTACCGGTGGGGAGCTCTCAGTAGAAAATAATTTTTCTCTTGTAAAATCTTTTCCCTGCCAGTGAATGTTTTAAAGATCTCAGTAGAAAAACAATAGCAGCAGTCTTTTCTTCATAGGTATATACTGCTGACATCTACACCTCTTGTATATAGAATCTGCTAATTAGATTGCTAGTGATTTTAGTTGGACTCTTTTGTAGCTCCATCTGTGATGTGACTGAAAGACACTAAGCAAATTTTGTGTCACAAAATCAAATTCAAATCATATCTTTTGCTTGAAAATAAACTTTTCAAGCCCTGCAAAATCCTATTCAGCAGTGTATTATCATGCCTCTCATCATAATGTACAGTAACCTAGAAACAACAAAAAATCTCTAAACTACAGAGTCTGCAAGTTTTTTATACCACTGCCAAAACTTTTTGGCCACAAACATAAATTCCTTATGGCAAAAATCCTGTATTACTTAAACTGAGGTGGCTGCAGCTTTTATCGCCTCTCATAATAAAATATAGTTGAAACAAAAAGGTGGGCTGAAAATAAATGTCCTTGATGGAGAAATGTTGCATTCAAATTAGAATCTTTAAATCTATGATTGTTATAACTTTTACTACACAAAACACATAGCTGCTTTCATATGTCTACTGCAGAATCCTTTTTAACTTTATTATTATTGTTATTATTATTATTAATATTACTTTCTGGTCTCGTCACTCTCAAAATTCAGTTTTTTGTAAAAGTGTCGGAAATCAACCAGCAGGTCACTGCTGCTTCAATGAAAATATATAATGAAAGAATAACATATACTCAGGACCAAACAGGCTATAAATGTTCAGCACGCTGTAATTGCACACTACCTTGTTCTTTCACAGAGTTATTAACTGTTCGTGATTGACCAGGCAAAGGCTCCAGGACCTCATTAAATAAAGAGACCGGGAGAAGGGAGAGCGGCCCGGGAACAGAGGGAGACAGTTTAACAAGAGAGGTAAGAGACAGAGAGGGCGTGGCGGCCGAAGAAATCTTTGCAGCATTAATTGTCAGAGGAAATAAGTGCAGATTGTTGAGGATTGTTTTCACCAAGCAGTTTTAAGAGGGTAGGTTATTTTGAATTCAAAACTCCAAACTAAAGTATTACTTCTTTTAGACAGAAATAATATAATTTGGACAACAAAATACATCTTCAATGTAGTACACTTTTTATACAGCTTTCTTTAACTTATTGATCTATTCTTTCGTCAAAGTATGAATGTTGAATATGGCTGAAACTAGTTTGTGCTAACGAGCAGCTTGACAGCTAATGTTAGCTTAAGTCAGTGGTTCCCAAAGATTTTCTGGGCCCCCCTATGGATTACGATAAAATCCCCCCAAAAAAGAAACAAAAACTGTAACTGGCCACACACATCGTTCCACCAGACATAAACTTATACACATATTTTGTTTTCAAACTCCACGGAAGTTTATTTCTCACTTCAGATTGCAACAGACCATCTTTACAGTGAAACACTTTTGTGTAACTGTTTTTTATTTTCATTCATCCCTGCCGCTCCTCTGCCCCCCAGGGAGTGCGCCCCACACTTTGGGAACCACTGGCTTAAGTGAACCAGGTTTTCTATTATGAATTGAAGTCATAAATACATCCCACTAGCATTAAAAATGATTATCATTTCACTATCTTACAATTCATTATTTCATCCAGAAATGAATGACAATCTACATCTAATTCCCAAGATTTTTATTTTTTTTTTTAAATAGCTGTATCAATATAAGCAAGCTGAAATTAGCACAATATTTACTATTGTAGTGAATCATGGTAAAGAGACAACAATGGAGATAACTTGACAGCAGAGGTAAAAAAGACACACATTTATTATCCAGCCTGTAATGTAGTGTCACTTTTTACTAAATAATTTGGCATCAGATTTTATTTACCTGCTTGAAGAAAAAAAAAAGGCTAAATGTTATGGAAGGAACACAATATGGTTTTTTAGAATCTGTAAATTTTACAAAGGGTGCTGTTCTATATATTCAAGAATCAAGATGAACAGTTTTAATTCATGCAAATACATGGTAAAAGGTAACCCAGATACAAATGGGGCCATAAACATCAAAAGCCATCTGCAAATCTTGTTTGAACAAATATATATATATATATATATATATATATATATATATATATATATATATATACACACACACATTCAAAAGTAATGTGGAACATTTTAGACCTTAAGCCTTCTGAGACCATACTGGTGCAGGGCCAAAAAAATTACAACTATTCATCTCAGTTGGAAACTTTTCCTTGTGACAAATGATAGGTTGCTGATCTTTTTGCATGCTGGCACTGAAGTAAGAAGTGGTTTGTCAGGTTTGTCATGGGTTTGTTTTGGAAGCTCACAACTTCCTGCTCATTTCTCTTTATATTTTGTTAAAATAAAAGCAAGAGTAAGAATAAAAAACATGGGTGCTTCAGTGAGGCAAAAAAGTGAACTTTACAGATACTGGTTTAAAGTATGTTTAAACAAATACTGCAGAGGTATTTTTAGAACCTAATACATGAAGAACATGCAATTTGCAGGGAATGCGTACATGCAAACGGCTACACCTATGCACACGTCCACGTTTGTGTGCATAAATCAGCTCTCACCTCTTCCATCACTCCCCATGGTTTATGCTAAGCCCAGTGGGGAGCCACATCAGCCTCCCCTTTGATGATGACACACATGATTAATGGCTGTAAAAAGGCTGTTTGTTTTCATTACGCCTCCTCGTCAGCGAGCTGTAGATGTATCAGAGATTTGTGCCATGCAGGCTAAATTTGAGCCAGAACTAGAGGAAAATATTTCAACAGGAGTTTTTCTTTAGAACCAGGAGAAAACACAAAGGGACTAGGTTTTGTTTTAAAAGAGGCAACTGCCCCTGGCTACATTTTCCACTGTTACTTGAGTTCTGAGGTGGCCAAGGGATTTCAAAGGCTGGAAAATTAAAAGTTGAAAGGATTTGGGTAAGGCAAAGATCCAGGATCAGTTTTAAGAGTTTCATCTAAACCCTACAGCTGTTGGGTTTTATATGTCTCACAAATTTTCTCTTGCAGACATACGGTACAGCAGACATACAGAAAAATACTCAACGTAAAGTTTAAATTAGGCCTGTGGTATGTATGCCTTATGGATGCAGTGATAAAATTAAGGGAGAGCAGCTGATTTCATTCTGACTTGAGATCCAAAGAAAACAAATAGATTAAGAGACCTTAAGTAAAATGATTTCTTCTCATGTGGAGGAAAGTTTGCAGAGATAGTCTTTGAACTTTTTTAATAAAGACCAGTTTTCTAAACTTAATTAGAAACAATGTAAACAGAATACACATTCATATGGAGGTCTTACTTTGAGTGTGTTCTAGTGTCCCTCCCCCAATAGCCAGTTGAAACATTTAAATAATAGTCCAGAGGCTGTCTGATTCACAAACCTGAAGAAGTTCAAGGCTAATGTGGCTTTCAAAAAGCCTTCAGCATTGCTGGGCTTTAAAAGTCAAAAGAAAGTCTGCAAAGGAATCTCTCTTTATGTTTGAATGCTTCCCTGTGAACTTTGTTGATCTATCAGATCCAGCTAATGACCTGCAGACATGGTTGACCATGCCCCTTCCATCCTCCACACAGAGAAGGCATAGCTCAGTCTCTCATGTGCCAGGTAGTTGCACCCAGCAAGCTTGCTGTCCATCTCGTTGCTTTGCAGAACTTGGTATAGAAAGTCAATATAGCGGGATGCCAACTTGAGAGTCTGAATTTTGCTCAGTTTGTCCGAGGGAAGTGTTGGAATGATCTTGCGCAGTGAGGCAAATGCTTCGTTCAGCGACTGAGTCCGCTGGCGTTCGCGGATGTTGGCGATGGCCCGCTGAGCATGTGGGTCCTCCAGGGCTGGGAGTCCTCCAGGACTGTGACCCGGTAGGGGAGAAAGCGAGGGGCTGGAAGAAGGCGGCCGATGCTGAGGGCTCTGTTTGAGTTTTTTGGGGCCTGTTGGGGTGTATATCTGAATGCTGTCCTCTGGTTTGACTTTGTCGCTGTTGTCCGTTGAGGTAGGGGTGAGTGGAGTAAGGTGATCCTCTGTGTGTGAGCCAATCTGACGTTTATGTCCAGTAATGCCTGGAGTGGCTACAACAACAGGACAGGCGTTAGAAAGTGGTCTTGCCAGCTTCTCTTTGGGAACCACCCTTCCTTTAGGGTGATCATCTCTGGACAGTTCATCCTCTCTCATACTTTGACACACTTTTCCTCCCCTTTAGTTCTTCAATTGCTCTATCTGCTCCGCTCTTGTGCTTACCTAGTTTTTTCAAGTTTTTGTTTTTTGTTCTGTTCTTCTTGAGATCCTTCCTTTGCTTCTCTGCTTTGTCTTTCTTCTGCTGTTGTCCTTTTCCTTACAACTTCTCCTTGGAGAATATTTAGTCAAGCCAAAGTAGAAGAGCAAGCACTCAGTGTCATCTCCTTCATCCACACATGTGAAAACCCAACAATAATCTCTTCCAGTCTCTGTAAGCATGCATAATGAGGCACAAACTCTCTCACGTCATTCTCCTGAAGCAGTATGTGAAACAAGAGCGTAGTGAGTGTACATTTTTAAAGTCAGGCAACGGTGAATGTTTTAGTTCCCCTCCCACTCAGTTCCCTGATTGGCCTGAAACGGATTTTGGGACAGTGAAGCTTCAGGATGCAAGAGGAGTGAGTCCTAACTGATTGGTCCAGTCGAATCGACAAGGCGGAGAGCGAGATCTGTTGGGCAGCCAACCAGATCTAAATGTAGTGACGTTTGCCTCCTTGTCCCAGAAGTTGCTCAAGTTTATAGGTTCCAGATTTTCTCCAAAGCAAGGCATTGCCCTGCCCCCTCTCTCACTGAGACTTCACAACTCAGCACCACCATCGCTGGGCTTTTAAAAGTCAAAAGGAAATCTGCAAAGGAATCTCTCTTTATGTTTGAAACTGCACAAAATTCAAATACACTATCCTGCAATATCCAGCCTTCTGGCTTTATAAACAACAGAATAGATTGATTTTGTACACAAAATCACAAAGAAGGTGAAATTTAAAGACACTGAAAATGACTCTTTTATTCCCCATCTTCCCCAGGTTGTGTGAAATATCACAGTTGTAACTTATTATAGTCTATGATATGATTTTTTCTTTAAACCCACAAGGTCTAACTTGTGGTATCTACAATATTTACCAGATAAAAGGTTAATGATATCTTGAAACACTGGTGTCACGATTCTTGGATTATTGGCTTTTGGTTTTATTATTTCCTGTGGGTAATTTATTCTTCATATTTTGTGCCAACCTCTGTCAGTGAGGTTTGTTGTCATCGATTCTTGTTTTCCTCATCATAAATATCATTCCCATTAGATTTTTTATATAATCTTCTTCTGTATTTTCACTTTAGTTCATGTATTGTCGTACTCTGTTTAGTGCTCTGTATTAATTATTGCTCAAAAAGTCTTGCCATACTAGATATTTCCTCTGTATTTAGATTCTTTGTTTATTCTTGCAATTTGTCCTTTGTGAAAGTAGCTTCTTTAGATCATTATTAGTCTTTCTTGCCTTATTGTTAAATCCTCTTTACATGGAGGACTTTTCCTAGCATAATCCAAGAGCACACATGTTCAGTCTGAAAACAGGATTTTATGTCTTTTGTCAAAACTTTTAATACTTTTGCTTACATTGTTATTTTGAAAGCAGGACTTCATGTCTTTCTTCTCAAAACGTGTACGCCAAACTTCTCCATGTGCACAGACATAGTCTCTACTCGTTTACGAAACATTTTCAGGAACAGCTGAGCAGGATAAAGCTGACCATTTTTATCTATTATATTACCATCATTTTAATACAATTTTCAAATTGTTTTTTTAGACTATACAAATAAATATTAGGCTTGAACTGAAAAAATGAAATGGAAAATAAGCAATAAGAAGATATTTTCTTCCAATGAGAATTTTATGTAAAGCTCAAACATTCTTCTGTTTTATAGTCATGCTGCATCTGCAGTAAACAGTTTGATCTGAAATATGTCACCTTCATCAAATAATACTTATTGATAATAATAGTAGTTCATTTCAATTTACAACCTTTCCATACACTCAGAACAGAGTCTGAAACTGGTATACATCACTTTCCACAGATAGATTGTGATCTAGAAAAAACAAACATGACAGGAGAATGTACAGTCCCTCATGCAAACTCTGAGACATGTGTACATTTGTTGTGGAGACCTTACAATTTGACACCTTTGTCTCTTTAAGAAGATCCAGCTCTTCGACATACAGCCTTGAGCACATCCATCTATCCATCCATTTTCTTACACCCTTGTTCCTGGTGGGGTCCGGAGATGCAGGTGCCTATTTCCAGCGAGACATTTTGGGTGAGAGTCACCATGGACAGCAATCCATCACAGGCTTTCAGCACATCGTCACAATAATACTTATCATTTAACGCTTGCCCCTAATACCACTCACACCACTGTGGGGCATGTCATTGGCCTCCTAAAATGCTTGTGGCAAGTTACCGTGTGGAACTTGCCACAATCATTTACACAGATCTGTCATGTGTAACGTTTGTCACAGCAACACTGTGGATACCAAAATTGAGTTAGTTCTTTTTTCAACTCTCCACCTCACTCATACTGAGTTCTATCTTGTGAATTTTTCTTCTTTACTTTCCTCTTTGTGATTCCCATTGGAGACCATAAAGCAACACTTATTTGCTGGCTCATTTACATACACCTTCATGTTTGCATTGGCTATTTATGGTTGAATGCAGGTGTGTATGGAGCAGAAAAGAAGGCGGTAACTTGTTGAGCAGTTGAGGTGCTGCTGTCTGGTGTATGTTCGCATGATTTTGTAAATCTGACCGTTGTTAGGGTTCGGGTTGGCATATGTCATTTTTTTGACTTCTGGAGGAACATACATTTCACACAGTTTTCTAAATGCAATCCAGAGAGCATCAATTTAGCCATCTATGAGCAAGACACAGGGAATATCGCAGACATTTCATCAATGCAAAAGGTAAAGTATGGGCTACATAACAAGATATACAAGGGACTCAGAAAGACAGATAAAGAAATAGATGGTTGTAAAAAATGTCCATGTTAAACGGCGAGTGATCATTGCGCGAAACAGAAACCTTGTAAATTCTAGACAGTAACTGGTACCATAGAATTGCACAAAAATCCACGAGGGACGACAGAGTCCCTGAGTGAAATTCAGTGAAAGAGGTGCACGGAACCTCTTTCATTGAAAGATTGTTAACACTGTTGTAAACTGCATGTTTGTGAGCATGAATGGGAATAAAAATTCCAATAGGCATTTTGTTCCATATAACACAGTACCCCTTTTGTGGATGCAAAGCCAAGAACTCCCCACTTGATGACTTTGTGTTTTTGAGTTTGTTTGTTATGATGTAAAGCACTTTGAAATGCCTTGCTGCTGAAATGTGTTATACAAATAAAATTTGATTGATTGATTGATATTAAGCAAACTGCAATGCACAAATATAAACACAGCCTACACTTCTATCATCTTGCCTGTAAGAAAATTCCAAACCCCCTCTGTAAAATTGCTTCCTTTGGCAAGTGATGCTGCTCACAAACCATGAAGGTCGCAGGCCGGTCGCACGCAGGCCGGTCGCACGCAGGCCGGTCGCAGACATGCGGCCACAACACGTCCTGCAAATGCTAAAACTGTAAACACCAGTCTTCCAAAGCATCTTCAGGTACATCAAACTGGTCTATTACTCCTGCAGCTGCATCCAGAGATACACCTGCTGATCCTGAAATCCCCACAAGAATACCTATGGAAGGACCCGGGCCCAGTACATGCAAAACTGACAGTACAATGTCTAAGGCAGCTCCAACTAATGCCATGGCACCACCCCAGATTTTAAACGTTCCAGAACTTTTCCAAGATTAAAAAAAAACCCATTCCTTTTACAGCTACCATTATGTGGACAGTTAAAACTCCAGCAAAAGGCCTGCACTACAACACTGTGCACTGCTTAAAAAGGGCAAGGTAATGATTGGTTGGTTTGCAATGTTAAACAAATTTGTAATAAAAAATGCCAATGAAATAGATGTAAGCAACAGAGAACCTTTTTCTTTCCTGGCAGTGCAAGAATTCTCGGATGACATAAGGAAAACAAAAGGGCAAGTTTTGATTCTGTTGACACAATAAATAAAGATAAACACAATTATAGGGAAGTCTATAATTGTGCCACAATAAATGCACAAAGTAGGGATTCCGCTCCAGTAACAACCCACACTTTCATGCTATAACTGGAAATGAATGTTAGCAAGCGCTCCAGTCCTAGACCCAGATCGCACCCAGCAGCAGCTGAGTGCGATCTGGGTCAACAGTCATGCACACCGAACCCGCCAAAGTAAGAGCTTCTCCCTGTTCTGTTTTACCCCACTTTATAATATCCAGCTTATATGTTTCTAATCCAATAAAGATGCCTGGTGGTAATAACCACAATGTGGAAAACAGTGAATTCTATCAGCAGAGATACAAAAACGTTATTCATGTCGTCACGAGTGTTCATTGGTGAAATCAGATGCCCTCCACATTCCAAAAGGACCTGACTGTACTTTATGAATATTTCCAACTGGTTCATCAGCACAGTGTTGCTTGAGGATCTCCAAAGAATGAAGCAGAAATATTGCAGAAGCACACCTCGTGACATCATCCCAATGCAGATGGTGGTAATTAAAGATGCCTGTCTTGAGGACAAGAGGATGACTTAGTGCATATCATTTTCATGGGTACAGCTGATCACAAGCCAGTGTATCAAAGTCAAGAATATATTGTACACAATATTTTTCATCAACCTGAGTAATACTTTAACAGACATACACAGTCTCACATTTTTAACTTTCTTGAGGAGAACCAGTTTGTCTGTCAAACAAGCAAATCCCCTTCAGTCACATTATCATATTTATTAGAAAAAAATCTTTTTAATTTGCAAATAATTAGCAGACTTTCTTAAATGTGTTTACCTGTTAAAGTTGATCATTTCTGTTGTTTCATCTGGTCTCTGCAAAAAAAAAAAAAAAAAAAAAAAAAAAAAAAAAAAACATCTATTGTGTTTCAATATGGTGTACAGCAGCCAAGATGTTATTATTAGACTTATGCCTATTTTGCACTGCAGGGCCTGACCAGAAAAGACCTGACCTGGCTTCAAAGCTGGGTCTGGCGCTTTTGCATTAACACTTCCAGTACGGTCCCACCCCACTCCCTGGAACCCCAAGACAGGAAATGATACAAATCAGGGATGTCCATGCTGTGCCTATTTTCAACCCTTGGAATGATGTTGTCCCATCCTTGACTGCAAACCAATATAAACATATTTATGGTAGAAGTTTGGTGTGCCAGTACAGTTTCTTTTTTTTAGAATATTTCCAAAGGACAAGGTTTACTCTGGCAGATAAATTTGCCCACATTGACCATGTTTTTGTTTTCTGTTTAATTTTTTCAGTAATAGGACTCTTGGCTTACAGTGAACTCCATCAGGACATGTGACTCACCATCT